GCAGCACCCTGACCCTCCAGGAGGACCAGTGGCTAAAGAAGACAGTGACCTGTGAGGCCACCAAGGACTCCCAGCCTCCTGTCAGCACAACACTGAGGAGAGAGCAATGCACTGGGCAGTGAGCGTCCACGCGTGTGTTGGAGCTGCTAGAGCTCCTCTTGATCTTCAGTGAGCTCAAACATGGCTCTGCTTAATGCTCTGATCTTCATCTCATCACAATAAAGAGTTTCAGTATAAACATCCACAGTCTTTCACTGTTTGTGTTCATTTTTACTCCAAATATCAACTATACAGCTGTAACATTTAGATCTTAATCAGACAAATGTTATATTCTGTTTCAAAAATAAAACATTTAGATCAACAAAATAGTGTGTTTCATGTTTTTTGGATAACTTTCACTCAACAACTAACTATACATACACATTTACTGTCACACTGTTATTATTTTTATTATTATTATTATTATTATTATTGTGGTAACAGCTTTTAATTCATTTATAGTGTTGAGAAATATTATTTTCAGTAAAATATCTTTTTATGTAAGGTATTTTTCAAAGAATAGTTTTATACAAGAAGGCAAAAAACACTCTTAACTTCCAGTATAATTTGAGGTCTGAAGTTCCATGTGTTCTGTTTTTACAGGTTTTGGAATGTTTAAGTTAATGGGGCCCCTGGTCTAAAGGCCCCAATAGGGAGTGGGCCTCTCTCTCTTAGTTCCAAATAGATGAGATCATTTTAATAAGGACCATATGTTCTGTCTCCTTTTTCAACAAAACATACCCTATATAAGCAGTTGGAATATTCTGTTCTGGAGGGGAAGGAAGGCGGTGTCAGCCGAGTCTCCTTCATCATCTTAACATCATCACCACTTAATAAACAACATATGCTCAATGACCAAACAATTAATTGAATAGAATTAAAAGGTATACACTGATATTTTATCTGCTTAAACACTCAGGATTCACTGCTGCTTTCAGTCTTCCATGTTTTTGGTGTAATTACTGAGTAAAAATCTTCTGGAGATGAGGGTTATTTCAGTTTTAGGTAACAGTGTGATGATTGTACAGTAAATATTTTTTTTGGTGCATTTCATTCTGCATTATTCTCCATCTGATGTTCATCATCTTGAAGAATGGAACAGAGAGCTCTGAAAAGAGTGATATGTTCTAAAAATCAATTATAATTATTTTTGATTTGTCCAAGGTGAAATCGCTCCACACTGAAAAAGAGAGGAGTCTAATCATGTGTGACTGAAACTAACTTCCTGGCAGGGTTGCCAAGATAGCCGCAGAATGAACAGACTTTTTTCAGGACTTTATACAAGTGCAGCACCTGAAACACTGTGCCCATTGTTTATTTATAAATGTGTGTTGAGTTGTGTGGTGTGTCTTTTGTTCAGTGTCCTGTTGCTGTAGCTGTGCTTTTGCTGAGCTGAAATAAAGCTTCATTCTGGACATTGTGAGTTCTTTACTGTAATGAATGGTGATGGTCAGTGTTGTTAGAGAGGGAGTTCAGCTGTAGATTCAGTGCAGTGCTGTGTGTTGATCTTGAGGGAGTTTGGCTGAATTAAGCTGAACATCTGGTGAAAGTGCTGCTCTATTCTGGGAGAAAGAGGACGACTCAGGCCTGTTCATGCAAATCTGAGTTTCACCCCACTGCTCTCTCTCTCTCTGTCTGACTGTTTACTGATAAGACTACTTGTTTGTGTTCAGCTGGGTGGGCTGTGTGGGGGGGGGGTGTTCACTTGTTGACTAATATTAATAATAATGTTGACTAATATTAATAATAATTTAAATTGTTTAGCAAAATTATTGCAGTGTTTAGAACGAAAGTCTTTAAAAAGGGAAACTATAAAGAACACAAAACCGCCCTCAAACTCAAGATGGCATAAGGGTGAGTCTAGCTCACCAACCTTCCTTGAGATTGTGTTCTCCTTTCAATCTTGTTCTTTTCTTTTCTTTTCTTTTCTTTTCTTTTCTGTTGCCCACTTTGGTGCTCTTTTACTGTGCTTTCTTTTTTTCTTTCTTTTTTTTCTTTCTTCTACCCACCTGGGCTGAAGTACTGCACCAGTTACCCCTCTACAAAGGTGTAACACTGCGCTGCCATTTGTGCCAGCTTTTATGCAGCATTCCCCAGGTGCAACCAGCTAGCACTGATTATCGGTAGGGCTTCTGGGAGTTGGGGTTTTGGGAGCTGCACCTAGCAGCTCTCCTGGCACGACAACCAAGCCCCCTAGTGGTGGCTGGTGTTGTAGCCTGGCCCCTTAAAAATTGTGTAGATTTTGGTGTTGGTATCAACCATAGAAGTGAGTTGAGCTGAAGTGCCTCTCATTACCATGTTTTATACACTTGCAGTCAGGCAGCCTTACAGATTTGATGGATGATTATGAGCACTTCAGTGAGAGGAACAGAATGCTGGTACAAGGTTTGTGAGACTGGAGGCCACAGTACCCGAGTCTGGATCGGGCATATTAGTGCAAAGTAACGTAGAAAGATAATATTAGGTAGAATATTTGAAAATGAAATTATTTGATAATTAAAGTTTCTGAACACAAAGACAGTAACACAGTGTAAAGCGATGTTTCTGGAGTCATTTTTTATTCTTTATAATAGTTACAGAGGTTTGATTGTGAATTACATAAAGATTCAGATTGTGTACTACATAACCTTTAAGACACATTAGAACAGCTATGTTTCTTCATAATATACATTATTGCTTCCTTTGGATACAATAATGAGAGGTTCTCTAATGAATAAGGCTGGCGTGATTAGATTAAGATTGCATCATAAATGTAGAATAATTGTCTCTGGATGCTGTCCAGAAGGATTTAATGGTGTGAAATTAATTGAGAGCAACAGACAATAAATACAGTTACATGAAAATCTTGAGATAAACAGCTGTAATCTTAGAAACAGCAGTACGTCTGATCAAAATATATTAACAATATTGTAAAATTACATACAAATAGTGTGCAAAAGTCCAAGACATCCATGCAAAACTGATTAAAACTATTTATGTGGGCGTTTAGTGCTCATAAAAAACACCATATAGGATTCATAAAAACTACACAAGTCTTTGAATAAGCAGCCTGTGTTTTAGCTCTAACCAGAACATCCACTTACTGGAGATCAGATGATTTTTTAAGAGAGTATCACACCTGTTATCTCTCAAATATAATATTTGGCTGTTATATACACTATATTGCCAAAAGTATTCGCTCGTCTGCCTTCACACGCATATGAACTTGAGTGACATCTCATTCTTAATCTGTAGGGTTTAATATGATGTCGGCCCACCCTTTGCAGCTATAACAGCTTCAATTTTTCTGGGAAGGCTTTCCACAAGATTTAGGAGTGTTTATGGGAATTTTTGACCATTCTTCCAGAAGCACATTTGTGAGGTCAGACACTGATGTTGGACGAGAAGGCCTGGCTCGCAGTCTCCGCTCTAATTCATCCCAAAGGTGTTCTGTCGGGTTGAGGTCAGGACTTAAGCATTAAGAGTTCCTTTCACTGGAACTAAGGGGCCGAGCCCAACTCCTGAAAAACAACCCCACTCCATAATCACCAAACTTTACACCCGGCACAATGCAGTCAGACAAGTATCGTTCTCCTCGCAACCGCCAAACCCAGACTCGTCCATCAGATTGCCAGACGGAGAAGCGTGATTCGTCACTCCAGAGAACACGTCTCCACTGCTCTAGAGTCCAGTGGCGGCGCTTTACACCACTGCATTCGACACTTTGCATTGCGCTTGGTGATGTAAGGCTTGGATGCAGCTGCTCGGCCATGGAAACCCATTCCATGATGCTCTCTACGCTGTTCTTGAGCTGATCTGAAGGCCACATGAAGTTTGGAGGTCTGTAGCGATTGACTCTGCAGAAAGTTGGCGAACTCTGCGCACTATGCGCCTCAGCATCCGCTGACCCCGCTCTGTCATTTTACGTGGCCGACCACTTCGTGGCTGAGTTGCTGTCGTTGCCAATTGCTTCCAATTTGTTATAATACCACTTTAGTTGACTGTGGAATATTTAGTAGCGAAGAAATTTCATGACTGGCATCCGATCACGGTACCACGCTGGAATTCACTGAGCTCCTGAGAGCGACCCATTCTTTCACTAATGTCTGTAGAAGCAGTCTGCAGGCCTAGGTGCTTGGTTTTATACACCTGTGGCCATGGAAGTGACTGGAACACCTGAATTCAATGATTTGGATGTGTGAGTGAATACTTTTGGCAATATAGTGTATTTCCATACACATTCAGTTTTGGGTGTGTCCTCCACTAAGAGGGTCAACAAAGTTTCTACTGTGATTAACAGTGAAGCGTTTACAGGCCATTTTTAATCATGAATTCATGATATAATTAGTTTTTATTGATGAAGATGATCATTTGGAGGGATACAGCAGTAATCAATGGTTGAATTATATGATGTAAGGACTAATAAATGGTGAAAATGTGATGACAGCTGTGTGGACAGCGAGGTAGCTGAATATGTGGAGGTGAAGGAAAAAGCCCAAAGACTGTGATCCACACAAGACTCCACAGTGGAGGACAACATAATGATAAATCATCAATCAGCAGGTAATTACCAGCACTACCACATAAGTAATACTTAGTTTTCATGTTGTGTGAGAAAACATTCATTGGCATTAGCATTAGCATAGCAATGTAATAAGCAGCAGAGAGTACACAGTGAATGAGAAATTAAGCTGTGAACTAATAACAAAATAAACCATTATATCAGAGTCACCAATTATTAATTAATAAGTACATAACCAGTTATTAAGTAATAACCTATGCTTAAAGATCAGTAACTATTTACAAAATGAGTAGTTAATGACTGACTAACGATGTAATTAATCCTTATTTTTCCTCTTAATGTAAGGTGTTACCATCATTTATATCAGTACTAATCTTAGTGTGTTTGTGGGGTAAATAAACACTGACTGCCCAAATAAACAGCTTTGTAAATGTAAATTCCTCAGCTTTCTAAAAGCTTTTACTCAGGACTGTATGTGAGAAAAGATCTACAGGCAGTTTCAATGTGAAGATCCAGCACATGCTGCCAGCCTCTGAGATCTGCACAGTGGAAATATCTGCCTTTGTTTGTAAACACTGCTTAGTCTCATGAGTTCACGCTAAGTACAGAGGTCTGAACTCAGAATAATCATTCTACAAGTTGCCGTTTGCCAGTAATTTCAATTTGCCTCTCTACGAAGTCGCTAGCCGAATGAACGATATGTATTAGAGCGTCCAGCATCAGGCAGTTTATGTCCGGCCTCAGCTGAGTCTCCTCGTAGTAGTTCTGCACAGGGAAGATGCAGTTCATAGGAACTCCCAGTCTGTGACTGCACACCTGCATCTACATAAACACACACACAGATATACACACACACTTAGGTTCTAGATATTAACCATGTAAATGTAAGGTAAACACTCTACAGTAGTAGCTAATGATTTTGAGTTACAAAATAGTTACTAGGAGTCTAATTAAATTACATAAATGCCAAATAGGTTCTAGATATTAACTGGGTAAGTTTGAGGAACAAACTGCAATGTACTAGATAACTATTTTTGGTAATAAAGTGCTGAGTTCCAAAACAGTCTAACTAAATGACACTGAAATTTTCAACAGGTTCTAGATCAGGAGCACACAACTCCTGTCCTAGACTGGGCTTTAAAAAAAGCAGTGATTCTTACTGTAGTTTTACTTCACAAAACAATCTTTGCATTTTGGGTCATTATTTTGCTCCATATAACTTACCAGCTACTTTTCTGTTTTACTTTCCTGCTTAAACATGTGAAATTACAGTGGAATTAGTGTGAGTTTGTGTGTACTCACAGCTTGATATTCCATAATAATTATAGCCCACACTTGCTCAGTTAATGTATACAACCTGTTGAGCATTTTAATGTAATTTAGTTAAACTGCCTCAGAAATTATGTAGAACTTGTACCACTTGCACCTACTGGTTACTACGTAGAACATAAGGGGTGGTATTTATCCAAGAACTGTAAGATGGGAGATCATTTGATTCTAAAAAAAGAAAAAAGGTATATAAAACCAAAAGTAGCAGAGTGACACACTTTTTCCTTGATCTTCCTGCTTTGGTAGATCTTGTTCAAGCTTTCCTTCACAATGTGGCATGCCTTGTCCACTCGGGTCAGCAAAACCATCTGAGGGATTCCTGCAAGACAGGAAGGAGACATACATGAACAGATCAGAGATACACAATACAGAAATGGGAGTCTGATGTTAGTAAAGGACGTCTGATGCTAGTAAAGGGAGTCTGATTTTATCAAAAGGAGTCTGATGTTACTAAAGGGAGTCTGATTTTATCACTAAGAGTCTGATGTTAGTAAAGAGAGTTTGATTTTATCAATAGGAGTCTGATGTTAGTAAAGGGAGTCTGATGTTAGTAAGGAAAGTGTTATGTTAGTAAAGAGAGTCAAATGATGGTAAAGGGAGTCTGATGTTAGTAAAGAAAGTGTGATGTTAGTAAAGGAGTCTGATGTTAGTAAAAGCAGTCTGATGTTAGTAAAGGAAGAATGATGTCATCAAAGAGTCCGATAATAGTAAACGTTACATGTTAGATGTCAGATAGGTTCAATCCCCTGAGCCGACAGTACATGACTGAAGTGCCCTTGAGCAAGACTCTTAACCCTCAACTGCTCCCCAGGTGCCGTGGATAGGGCTGCCCACCACTCCGGGCAAGTATGCTCACTGCCCCCTAGTGTGTGTGTTTTCTAGTGTGTATGTGGTGTTTCAGTGCACAGATAGGTCACAATGCGGAGGTAAAATTCCCTGTTACAATGGTCACTTAACTAACTTATCAAAGAGAGTCTGACATTAGTAAGGGAGTCTTACTACTTTCTGAATTATTTTCTTTAAAAGTCATATAAGTAAAAAAAACTCAAGGAAATTTCATCAAGATTTTAGTGTAACACGGGTAAAAAGGAAGTCTACACTGTTTATGAAACAAAGAAGTATATGTCGTTTATGTATGCTATGTGTACATCTATAAGAAAATTAAATTAAACAATTTTTGGTTTAAATGTTCAAAATATTCTAATATAATTATAAATATGAAGACAAAACATAGTAACTATTGGCTCGTTTAATGAAACCAAGAAGAAGAATATATGGAAATATTTCAAACATGACATGTTTGTACTGGTTATGGTGTAAATTCAGACATGAGTACTTACTAGCAGTGAGAACGGTAACATGTTCACAAACATTAATACAGACAAAAGGGCTCATGTTTCAGTAATGTTAGCCCCGTCCCCATGCAACACCAGGGAGCTTCTTTGATCTCCTCAATCATGCACTGCCGAGTGAAGAACAAACTCACTACTGGTGTAGGGGTGATTTTAGTTTTATTAAACATAAAGCAAGCACTACAAAACCAAAATCACAAAACGCAGACAAGTAAATGCAAGACCCAACAAACAAAGAGGAAGGTAACTATGAGAGCTTATTGCTGCTGTCAGACCAAAACCTCATATTTCCAAAATGGTAACTTTACAGAAGAACGTGTAAACATACTTTACTTTTAATGTAAGTAATTGGAACCAGACTTTTCTCCAAGTAAATTTGGGCCATTTCTTTTGGTCCTTTCATTGTGAAATTTACACACAATTTAAAGGATAATAGGTTTTCTCAAATTATGTCAAAAACTGAAAAACAACAAAAATGGAGATATGAGGTTTTGGTCCGACAGCTGTGTTCTAAAGACTAGGCATGGCTGGGGAACATTCATGAATAGGCAAGACTGTAGGCTGTAGAGGGCGGAGCCAAGACAGAGAAACCATGGCAATAGTCAGTTTAGCTGTTAATAATCTTGTCCAGATAGCAATCAATGTTAAAGAATCAACATTAATTTCATTGAATCATCATTTTAATCTGTCGTTGATTCTTTTTCACCCTGAATAAACATTGAAACAACAGTGAATGTTTAACAAGAACTTAACCTAAAACCTAAAATGCTCCCTCAGACATTTTTTAACCTTGTAGGATTTCCATTACGAAAAATAAAAATGTCGTTAACATCATGGGGGTAATGTTACAGCCTTGTACCCTAGAGGTTGTTTTAAATAAACACTACTAACTCCTTTCCTCTAAAACAAAATTACACCATTCCTCCTGAAAAAAGAGTGTCTGCAATTTGCTGTAAAATAAATTTCATTTACTTCACAATCATGCTGCCCTCGAGAATGTCTGTGCCCAGTCCAGTGTATGTGTGAACTCACCTAATGAACTTGCTGCTCTTCTGATGATCCTCATTTTGTCAATGACGCCATCGCTCATTATGGTTATCTTATCTGCTGGAAGAATGCTGACCAGACAGTGAATCTTATCATTCAGCATTGGATCTTTGATGTAATGGTCACTGTCTTCAGAAATTGGAGTGCGCTGGAACTGAATGTGAGGAAAAACAGTAAGGTTGTTGTGGTAATAATGTGGAGGCTTAGACAGTGCACCATAAACACAGTGTTGTTTTTGCAGATAAAATCATGGAAAGTCTGTGAACCCTTTACGATTCTGAGAATTTCTGCACACATGTGACCTCAACTGTGATCAGATATTCAACTTAGAAGAACACAGTTCCTAATTAAACAAACAAAACACACTGATATTGTCACGGGACAGTCTGGGAGCGGATACAAGCGCAGAGAGAGGAAAACCTGTAAGTACGGGCCTTAAAGACGTTAATTAAAATGAAAAAAAGGCTTATGTAACCACTTCAGTGGTAGTTTTATAGTATGGTGTAATAAATAATGATTTGAGAACACTGAGTGTGTATTATTGGAGAGGAATTACTTCCAGCTGGGTTCAAACCAGTGACCCTGGCAGCCGGCAACACAGGCTGACCCTTTACAGGACCACCTCTTCTAGGGATGGCCCCAGAAGTCCCCAGACCCGAAGCATGTGCGCACCAAAGGTGAATTCTGGGTCCAAAATGTGGCATTCATCAACCCACGACCGATTCAGTCCACCTCCGGCAATGCCTTACAAATTGCAAACATGGGTGGAGGGAACCCGAAATGAGGGAACATTCAAAGGGTGATATGCCCAGACATGAATGCCAGAGTGTGTTATGGGCACATTCTGCCCAAGGTAGGTGGTCTGCCCAAGAGGCTGGGTTGGTGGAAGTCAAACACTGTGGAGTCTGGGTAAGGTCCTGATTGACCCTCTCGGTTTGGCCACTGGACTCTGGGTGGAAGCCGGAGGAGAGACTTGTGGAGGCTCCTATGAGCTGACAGAAGGCCTTCCAGAAGCAATTAGTGAACTGGGGTCCCCAGTCTAAAACTAGCCCATGCACCCTGACCACATGTTGTAACACATGAGTTTTGCTGTCTCTTTGGCACATGGAAGCTTGGGCAGTGTCACGAACTTGCATGCCTTGGAGAAGTGGTCAGCTAGGACCAGGATGACTGTGTTGCCTTTGGATGGGGGCAGGCCTGCTGAATATAGGCCAGGTTCTTGTGGTCAGTCCAGACCACAAAGGGGTGCTTGGCCCCCTCAAGCCAGTGACAATGAGGGCTGCAGAGAGTGGTAAAAGGTCAGTGCGGAGAGCACTGAAAACTCGGCAGTCAAATCACAAGTGCTGTAACAGATTTACCTCTGTTCCCGTATTTGCATTTTGGGTTTGGTTATGAGGTGATGTAGTTTTATACATCCAGGCCTCTAGGGGGAGCTGGTTCACCTTAAAGTGTCTCTAGTATCCCATAAAATGGTGGCAAAAAAGAAGTTGAGCGGCATGGTGACTCCAGACTCCAACAAACAAGCATCTGTTGTTGTGGAGAAGCCCCTGCTGTTCAACTTACACAGTCCTTTGTTTGAGGAACTTGCATTCCCTTTTCATTCAATAAGTCTTGAATGTTTTTTTTAAAACTTAACTTTGTGCTGGGTACAAACATTGTGTCAAGGATTAGTTGAGGGTTATGCTAAAGCTAAGGTTTATGTTAGCAGGCCATATTTTCAGTTGTTCAGCTGTAAATTTTCAAATACATTACATTTATTACATTTAAAAATATCTCTGTTTGCAGAAGGACCTTTTTCATGCTTACTTGTGAACTGCTGGTGACAAGAAAGGCATGTAAGGAGCCTCAGACCTCAGCAGGACATTGGTGCCATGGCCACAAGCATTGCAGAAAGCAGTGAGAGCACAGTGCCATGCCTACAAGCACGGACAGGAGCCACAGACAATGTCAAGAGCTCAGCACCTCAGCCTCAAGTGCAACTCCATGACCACAAGCCAAGCGCCAACAACAAGAACCAACAGGAGCCAAAGATGACAGCGAGAGTGCCAAGCCACAGCAGCAAGTGCCATCAGGAGCCACAGACAATAGCAAGAACTTGGAACCACGGCCACAAGCGCCAACAGGAGCCACAGATGAAACTGAGAGCATGGCACCATGCCAATGAGTGCTGACAGGAGCTGTGGGCAATACTGAGACCTTGGCACCATGAGAGGGCTTGGCGCAAAACAAAACACCATGAGGGCCGTGGTGAGCAGCGAGAGCTCGGCACTATGCTCCTTTGGGTTATTTGTGAGTGTCAAGAGCTCATGAACTAGATATTCAATTTCTATACCTATTACATGCCAAATGATCATTTTAAATTCAATATATTTTAAGAATTTTAGGCTGAAGGGTTCAACAGTTGTGTTAATAATTTATCACATTAGCCAATGTTCTTGTGGTAACTTTGTCACCCACCTTTGACCTTAAAACATGGTGTTGAAAAACGTGATTACTGAAACAATGTCTTGATCAGGCTAAGACTAACAGATTAGGGATTATGAGTGTCTGCTGATCTTACTTGGTAGCCATTTCGAATGTTGCCTTTTAAAGCTTTGATGATGTCTTCACTGTGTACCCCTTGTGTTTGTCCGTCTTGTAGACCCATCATGTCGTAGAAGGCAATAGGGGTGCGTCCAGATTTCTCACTTCCAACAGTGAATTTCTGGTACTGGAAACACAAATTAAAAATGACATCTCAACATCTCTGCAGTTTCTCTTGGACAACAATTAGGCCAGATGGAAAAACAAAGGACACTTTAGCTTGCTACTCAGATATTCCTCAGGCAGAATCTCAGGTGTCTCCACTTGAATTTTAGTAGAGATCTCAATGGAGTCACACATTGTGCTCAGATTTGCCTTGAAAATAATGCTCATGTTTATCTACAACCAAAATAAAGAAAAAATCTCAACATGAACCATTTTGCGTTCAAGAATGAGAGCTTCTCAGTTTTGATGCCGAGTATTGATTATAATAATCTGAACCAGAAGTGTTTCATGTTTCCTTTTTTGTCAGATTACTTTATTACTCCTAAGGAACTGTAAGAGTATCTCCATTAAATCCTCTGAGCCATCAAACAGCAACATGGAGCAAAAAACTTTTACTCTGGGTAAATCAAACTAGACGAGTTACAGGGCATTTCACCACTTTAGCATAAAGGACCAAATTTATAATCATAACCATGAACAAGACATTTCTGGTGTCACAAAAATACAGTGCTGTAAGAGTCTTCCCTGGTTTTCTCAGCATTATTACATATTTGTTACAGTGAATGCTTTTGATCCTAAATGCATATTTTTAGACAAACAGAACTTTTCAAAAACATAACAGATTTTACTTTAATGTTTCATTTGTATTAGGTGTAAAGTTATTCAACATCCAAATCGCCTGCATGTAAAACTAACTACCCCTTCATAACCCTACGATTATATAGTATAACTGTTTTGGTATTTTGGTCAAATACAACTACAACAATAATTAATAAGTGCATGACAACACTGTACGTTGTTGTTTTCAGGAGACCCAGGGCTACTCAGATAGGTTATTATATGACATGTAAATGCTAAAAGAATTTTGATATCTTAATGAATTTGGGTAATATTTGATGAAAACGTTTGTCATTTTTTGCTTGTATAGATCTCGAAAAAGTGGGACCTCAAATAGCTTTTCAGTAATTGTTTGTCTCGAGTGTCTATGAGCTAAAAATGCAAGATGGTGGTTCATTCTATTGCTTACTATTGAGTAAAAATAAACAATTACGAATAATACGAAATCTGATACACAGCAACAAAAGTTTGGTTTTTAATATTAAATTGGGTTGCATGCTTACTATCTTGAATGTTCTGATGTGTGAGTCATATCACAGCCTTAAAACAATCTCCAGGCATAAGAAACCTGACCCCCAGGCATAAGAAACCTGACCCCCAGGCTGTAGTGGATGAACGATCTCAATCTGTTTTTCAATAGATTTGATCACTCACCTCCCCTACACAGTTACCCTGACTCTCAATGCACTGCCCTGCCCCCTCTCCCACAATATCCCTCCTCTTCACATCTCTCACCTCACAGCCACCCATCACTGATCTCTCTGCTGTCAGCTCAACCCCCCTACCTGCACACTCCAGTCGCCAGCCCCCCTGCTCCAACCTGTGCCTTTCAACAGCCCAGGTGAGAAAGGAACTCAGAAAGATCAAAGTGAGGAAAGCTGCGGGTCCGGATGGCATCAGCGCCAGGCTCCTTAAGTCCTGCACAAATCAGCTGTGTGGGACAGCTGAACACATGTTCAACATGAGCCTGAAGCTCAGGAAGGTACCACAACTGTGGAAAACATCTTGTGTGGCACCAGTGCCAAAGATGCAGCAACCAAATGACCTCAGCAGCTACAGGCCGGTGGCACTGATGTTGCACCTGATGAGGACGCTAGAGAGGCTGGTCCTTGCCCATCTCTGCCCTCTGCTGAGCTCATCTGTGCACAGAGCTCTTTCTCACCTGGAGAGGCCTGGAAGCACTGTGAGAATCATGTTCTTTGATTTCTCCAGTCCTTTTAACACCATGCAGCCTAGGCTCCTGAGGGACAAGCTGGAGAATACAGAGGTAGATCACCACCAATCAAATAGGATTCTGGACTATCTCACCAACCGACCACAGTATGTGAGGGCACAGAACTGTGCATCTAACATGGTGTTCAGCAGCACAGGGGCACAGATCTGGCACTGTTACTCTTCACCCTGTACACTGCAGACTTCATGTACAGCTCACCAAACTGCCATCTACAGAAGCTCTCTGATGACTCAGCAATCATCTGACTCAATACATATGAGGACAACAGAGAATACAGAGAACTGACCCAGGACTTTGTGGACTAGCGTCTGAGGAACCACCTTCTGATCAATGCAGGGAGGACCAAATAGATGGTGGTGGATTTTCTCAGGCGCAATTACCTCCCTCCACCAGTAAACATCCACGGAATGGACATTGAGAAAGGGGACTCTTGTAAATACCTCGGATTTCACCTCAACAATAGACTGGACTGGTCAGAAAACACTAGTGCACTTTATAGGAAAGGCCAGAGCAGACTCTACCTGCTCAGGAGGCTGAGGTTGTTTAAAGTGCAGGGGGCACTCCTGAGGACTTTCTTCAACACTGTTGTGGCATCAGCCATCTTTTATGAAGTGGTCTGCTGGGGTAGCAGCATCTCAACTGCAGACACAAAGAGACTTGACAGACTCATTAAGAGGGCCAGCTCTGTCCAGGGAAGTGTGTGAAGGAGGCCATTGCAGGTCCTTCCTTCCTGCTGCTGTTAGACTGTACAACCAGCAGTGCTCCCAGTAGAACCCCCTCCACCTCCCATTAGACCTCACACACCTACAGAACATAAACTGTGGAATTCATCACCATTTCCTGTGTGTAATAAAGTCAATACTTCATGTGGAATATTTTTAAAATATCTCTAAAGTATAGAGTAATCTTAATGTTTATATTGTTAACTCCTCACCATCCCATGTGTAACATAAATCAGTACCTCATGTGCAATTCAGGTAAAATATCTATACAGTGTAAGTATTTTTGCTTATATTTATTTAGAATTCTTCATACTGTTAATTTTGGTAAAGGATAGAGTTCATATTTTTATATCTTATTTTTTACTTTCAGTATTATAAATATATATATATATATATATATATATATATATATATATATATATATATATACAAACAAACTGTAAATCTTGTTAATTAATTACAGTATCTCACAAAAGTGAGTACACCCCTCACATTTTTGCAAATATTTTATTATATCTTTTCATGGGACAACACTATAGAAATGAAACTTGGCTATAACTTAAACTAGTCAGTGTTCAGCTTGTATAGCAGTATAGATTTACTGTCTTCTGAAGTCAACACACAGCCATTAATGTCTAAATAGCTGACAACACAAGTGAGTACACCTCACAGTGAACGTGTCCAAATTGTGCCCAATTGTGTCGTTGTCCCTTCCTAGTGTCATGTGACTTGTTAAAGTTAAAGGTTCCAGGAGTGAATGGGGAGCAGGGCTGTTAAATGTGGTGTTTTGGGTACAATTCACTCATACCGGCCACTGGATATTCAACATGGCACCTAATGGCAAAGAACTCTTTGAGGATGTGAGAAATAGAATTGTTGCTCCCCACAAAGATGGCCTAGGCTATAAGAAGACTGCTAACACCCTGAAACTGAGCTATAGCACGGTGGCCAAGGTCAAACAGCAGTTTTCCAGGACAGTTCCACTCAGAACAGGCCTCACCAGGGTCAACCAGAGAAGTTGAGTCCACGTGTTCAGCGTCATATCCAGAGGTGGGCTTAAAAAATAGACGCATGAGTGCTGCCAGCATCGCTGCAGAGGTTGAAGAAGTGGAAGGTCAGCCTGTCAGTGCTCAGACCACAAGCCGCACAATGCATCAACTCGGTCTGCATGGCCGTCGTCCCAGAAGGAAGCCTCTTCTGAAGCTGACGCACAAGAAAGCCCGGAAACAGTTTACCGAAGACAAGCAGTCCAAGAACATGGATTACTGGAACCATGTCCTGTGGTCTGACGTGGTGAGGTGTACTCACTTGTGTTGCCAGATATTTAGACATTAATGGCTGTGTGTTGAGTTATTTTCAGAGGACAGTAGATCTATACTATAAGTTATATCCAAGTTTCATTTCTATGGTGTTGTCCCGTGAAACTATATAATAAAATATTTGCAGAAATGTGAGGTGTGTACTCACTCACTTTTGTGAGATATTATATCAAGGTTAATTACTTGCTTATTAGTTCTCTTCTTGTTACTTCTTTTCTTGAGTGCCTTGCTATCCCTTTGCTGCTGTAGCACTGAGAATTTTCCAGCTGTGGGACTAATAAAGGATAATTTTGTCTTATCTTAATCTTTTAACCCTTTGTTATAATTTTAAGGCTAAAAGAGCAGAGCTAATATAATGTTATTTACTACTACTAACTTTCAAAATTTCAAAAAGACACAGGACACAGTGGTAAATCATCCAGGAAGTCACCACAAAAAAAAGAAACCTTTTTTTACTGCACTATATGTAATATGGAAAACAAGACAAAGTCTAGACCCCTCTGAGTGAATCTGTGTTTTTCCAATCAAAGCATGTTCAGCATACTGTATGTACACAATTTTATTAACTAAGCCTCAAGTTAAAGTATGAGCCTCGCTAATGACAATAAACTAGTCTTGTGTGATGACTGTAACACCATTTTCAATTACTAAGTAATAAATCTTGTATTTATTCCAGTTAAACAGCCATACTACCCTCTACAGAAGTTGGTGTCTCTGTGTTAGTTTATTCACAGCCTATTACATAGACAACTTGTGGTCACTTGTGGTGACATATTTTTGTCATGTGTTGACCTGTGGGATATATACTTTGTTCTAGTATGGTTTTCAGGAAAGAGAGGGTTTTGTGTGGTCTTACAGTGCTTTTGCATTACCGTACTTTTGCATGTTTTAGAAATTGGACTATGAAAGCCCTGAAAGGTAAGATCAAAAAAAACCATAAGTGCATTCCTGGGTCTAAGCTCCAATTTGTGTATATTTCTGCTTGTATAACCAAAAGCAACCGAGAAAAATATTTCTAGTGTCACTTGTACAATTTCAGCCATCAAACACCTCCATTTTTTTTTCTCTCAAAAAAAGAAAACAAATTCAATTCTGTATGAAAAAGATGTACTGACCCACACTTAGAATGCTACTCCAGCTTTGACCAGCAGTGGGCGTCTGATTTTTTTTTCCTCTTACCCTTCATGGACCAAGTGGGATGACACTTGTACAAAAACTGCAAGTGGGATGGTCTGTTTATTCCTGCTGACTCAGTCTGTGGTTGTGAATTCCTGCTGGTGTTGGTGTTACGTGTCAGTATCTGTGCATGTGTGTGTTTTTTCAACCCCTCTTGGTCATTCCTGTTCTTTTAGATGTCTCTTTCCTTCATAGCTTGCTTGGTGTGTCAGTCACAATTACCTCTTGGCTGACTTGTTTGGTTGCTGGTGTTCTGTGTTCTTAACTCTCTTAGCCTTTCTAGCTTTAGCCCTTGTTAGCTTCAGGTCTCTTGGTGGCCTTGTAAGCCTTTGTTAGCTGTATCTCTTCCTGTTACTTATAGAGTGAATCTTTGCTTTTGGTCTACACATGTTTGTCTAGTTGTACTGGCTGTAGATTCTCTTAAACTGTGGGTTTTTTGTTAGCTTAGCATAGCTGTTTAGCTCTTGGCTTAACAACAGCCTACATTTGTTTCTGTTGTCACTGTCTGTATTCCCTCTCTTAGGTAGTCTGCCAGTACACCTTTACTATAATAAATTGTTGTTGTTCTTTGTTTATAGCTTATCTTACCTGTGTATTTGGCTTGTTTGTATAATAAAATTTTAGCAGTTTTATCTGCATCTAATTTCTGCACCCCCTTTATTACACTCCTCCTTCCTCTTGGTACCATCCCTCCCTAGGCCTAGGCCTGAGACTATGGCTGGGACATAACGGTAATATGGCTGGGTCTTGAATTCCCGAGCTTTAGTTTCTCTGTTTTCTTCATTTAACCGTTTTGGACTGCTGCTGAGAGTTTTTGGCTTTTTGGATCAAACCTGCATTAGTTTGCTCCCATTACTGTTATTTAATAAACCACAGAACACTGTCTCTTTACGTTAAAAGTTACTGTATTGATTCCTGGATCAAAACTAAACTGAGCAAAGACTATTTTAAGTTGACTGGATGTTCTGAGAGATTATGTTTAGAGGGTGTGTTCAGATATGCATTTGCCCAAAGTATGTATGTAGCACATTATGTAAAAGTCTGGGCACCCCCGGTCAAAGTACACGTCTTGTTGATTTTCAGAGTGAGCACATTCTCTACAGAGACTCTTTATTTGCTGAGTTTTACATATAGGTGGGAAAAAAGACATAAAGGAGGAGATTTTGTAATGATTCACATTAATAAGTGTTTCAAACTTATTTATTTTTGATGGAAAGAAACATTTATAAATACCATTATTCTTAATTTCATGAAGGAAATAAAAAAACAAACTAGAATGGTTCTGTTCCCTGAATTTACTATTTCCCAATACTTTGGCCATATTTTACAACACTATCAAAGAGCAGTTTGTGTATAGCTCTCGCTGTAGGTTTGATAATTTGCATGTTTACAACTTAAAAACCATTTCTTTTTAGAATTAAACTGCTAAAGCTCATTTGTGTGAAGTACCCTGAAGGCCACTGTTACTGTGGCCATGTGTCGTCTTTCTTGTTTTAATAACTGGTTTCAAAACATGAAAAAGCCCACGTTCATGTTTGGTGAGGGAAGCCAGTCAATGTGTGGAATGCTGCAGCACAGTTGTATTAGTTTAACATAGCAGCTGGGTAAAAAGTCTCCCTCACGCTGATACAGAATGCTCTAAAGCCAGACAACATATCAGGGCGGAGCGTTTACAGACATTTAAATCGTCCAACTTGACTGACAGACAGGACAGATGGAAACTCCAGCCGAGCTCTGCGTCTTTTGTTTCACTGTCATGGAGAAAATGTTTGCCTGGTACATGTCTCCAGTAAGACTGGAGTTTGAGTGCAGAGCGAGGACTTACTGGGGCTGTGGATTCTTCGCTTCTTTCTAGCTTATGGAGACAAACTTGAATTCTCACTTTACTTGAAATAAAACAAGCCAGGCATAAGAACAGTGATGTTGGTGTAGGCCTGCACCAGGAAACCAATCCATTCATGTGAAAAGTGGTTGACTGTAGAGAGTCCTATCATTTTGAATCTAGAATAAGTCTTTGGTTTTCAGGCCAAAGTCTGAGTCATTACTGCCTCTCTTAGTAAATGTGCCCCAAAATGTGGCCTGTGCAAAACTTGCAGCAAATTTTATATTTTATGTTCCAATATGTCTGATTCAGCAAAGATATTTAAAATAAAAAACTCGTAGAAAATGTGCTATTTAGGTGTCTTCTCTGTAGAGGCTGTGCTAGCTTAATTGCACTTAATAAATCAATAAAACCTTTTTTAACCAGGGGTGTTGAAGCTTTTGCATACGACTGTAAGTAACAGCACTCCACATTACCCACCCAGCAGGCACCAGACTCCAAATGGTCGGTACAGTTTGTACCTCATTGGTGGCTTAGAAAAACTGCTGTTTTCGTGTTTGTTTTTTAGCTCCTTATATTGCTGCTTTGAATGGCAGATTTTAGAGAAGAACATACTCACGTCTAGAGTGTGACTGCTGGTTGTCTCTGTAGCAGCTAGGCAATTAACAAACGGCCGTTCTTCAAAAATGCTTTTGATGGTGTTAATGGTGCTGGACTTTCCTGCTCCTACTGGTCCATGAAGAAGAATACGGAGCTCTGAGATTTTGTTACAGATTTTATAGCTTCTTAGATACATCAGCATAGCTTCTTGTCTGTCAGAGAAAAATATTGCTTTGTTACTGTCAATAATAAACAGCTACGTCAGTGAATTGATTTAAATGGAAAAGTCTGTGTTCATCACTACATTCAGACATTTCTATGTGCTCTCCAGGGCTGTTTAATAGTGTTAAAGTTTTATAGATGTGATGCAAAATGATGAATATGGCTTACGTCTGTGGGATTTTCCTCCAACTCCTGATAACTGTAAGAAAAGTGTTTCAGTGAACAAGCAACTCAAACACTGTACAACCATTTTACCATCTACAACTCTTTTACAAATCTCACACTTAAACAGAGCTAGAATGTCCTGTAATGTTGAAGTACCTTTATGTGATTAGTTATTATTTAATTAAAGAAAATGTAGCTGATGGAATAATAACATGGTCTGTAATTAACAGAATTCAATGCATGCAAAATCATCTAAGAAAGAAATGTCATGATATATAACTTTGCTGCATATTGTAGGGACCCGCTATTGGCTGGCACTGGCTCCAGAGAGCTCACTCTTTCTCTACTACTACTACTGTAGGCACCAGACCCAAAATGCAGTTTGACCCTCATTGGTGGCTCAGAAAAACTGCTGTGTTTTCATGTTTGTTTTTCAGCTCCTTATACTGCTGCTCTGCACTTTATACCTGTATAATCTGTTTGTTTGATTTGGCTGATCATTGGACTAGAAGAGCTTTAATACAGTGTGTTTCTTGTTAGATGTTCTTAGCTATAACTCCTAGAGTTATAACTAACCCATGCATGCACACTAACCTGGATATTTTTTGTTGAAAATGTAATTACCTGATCTCTGGCCTGCTACCCCACCTGTCCAGGTGTGTGGAACATTTCAGTAAGCCTTTTTGCTTAAAGTTTGGCTTGGTATTTCTTAAATAGAACTGTTGTCCTGGACTTCAGCTCAATGATGCTTATGGAATATACCATTCCGTCAGGGGCACTGTGGCTCCAAGCTAAACCTACATCCTCCCAGTCTGTGCCTGAATGACTCTGAGTACACAGTGTGAAATAATAAAGTTTGTTTTCTATCATGTCAGCGGGGATGTTGTACACAAAGCTATCGGTAAGTTTTAACATTTACTATGTTTTACTTCTTAATGTTGGTAAGATAAAAGAGATGATTATTGACTTCAGTAGGACTAGCAGTGATCTCTCTCCACTGCACACCAATGGTCAAACCGTGGAGAGAGTCAAAAGCTCAGAGTTCCTTGGTGTGCACATCACTGACAACCTCACTTGGAGCCTCAACACCACCTGCCTAGCCAAGAAACCCCAACAGTGACTTCACTTCCTGCAAATGATGAAGAAAGCAAACCTCCTCCTTTCCACCCTCATTACGTTCTACAGGTGGTAATAGAGAGCACCCTGACTGACTGTCTCACTGTCTGGTATGGGAACTGCACCATCTCAGACTGCAGGACCCTACAGCGGCTTGTGAGGACAGCTGAGTATATCATCGGGGTGTGTTTATGCACCATCAACATCTCCTACTACAAGCACAGCATCCAGAAGGCTGCCAGCATTGTGGACGACTCCTCCCACCACTCTGATGAGCTCTTCTTCTTCCTGCTATCTGGCACATGATACCAGAGCATCCATTCCATCACCTCCAGACTCCACAGCAGCTTTTTTTCCTGAGATGTTCAGATTACTGAACATACTGATGTCCCCCAGCATCCACCTCAACTATTTTATACCCTTTACAACATCCACCTGGATTAGTCCAGACCCTTTACAATATTCAAGTGGATTAATCTAGACATTTTACAACATCCACCTGGACTCATCTAGGCCCTCTACAACTTCCACCTGGATTAATCTAGACCCTGTACAACATCCAGCTGGACTCATCTAGACCCTTTACAACATCCTCTTGGACTCGTCTAGGCCCTTTACAACTTGCACCTGGACTCATCTAGGCTCTCTACAACTTCCACCTGGATTAATCTAGACCCTGTACAACATCCAGCCGGACTCATCTAGGCCCTCTACAACTTCCACCTGGATTAATCTAGACCCTGTACAACATCCAGCTGGACTCATCTAGGCCCTCTACAACTTCCACCTGGATTAATCTAGACCCTGTACAACATCCAGCTGGACTCATCTAGGCCCTCTACAACTTCCACCTGGATTAATCTAGACCCTGTACAACATCCAGCTGGACTCATCTAGACCCTTTACAACATTCACCTGGATTAATATAGACCCTTTACAATATCCACCTGGACTCACCTAGACCCTTTACAACATCCTCTTGGACTCGTCTAGGCCCTTTACAACTTGCACCTGGACTCATCTAGGCCCTCTACAACTTCCACCTGGATTAATCTAGACCCTGTACAACATCCAGCCGGACTCATCTAGGCCCTCTACAACTTCCACCTGGATTAATCTAGACCCTGTACAACATCCAGCTGGACTCATCTAGGCCCTCTACAACTTCCACCTGGATTAATCTAGACCCTGTACAACATCCAGCTGGACTCATCTAGACCCTTTACAACATCCACCTGGATTAATCTAGATCCTCTCTATCTTCCATCAGGACTCATCTAAACAACTGGTCTCCGCTAGACCCCTTGGCTAAAGAGTTTCTTTCAGACTCATCATTTTACCATGACTGCATACCACCACTTTAAACTCTTTGAATTCTTTAAAATCAGCCATATACCTGATCTGATGCTGTATATTATTTTGTTTAGTTGGCCTGTGTAGTTAGCTGCATGTGTACGCATTGTCTGGTGTTTTTATTGTATATTCTGCATTCGTTTCACACTGTTATGTATCTGCGTAATATGTATAATATACTGTGTGTTCATCCTCACACTGTCATATCAAACATATCACATCCTCCACAGCTAGTGCCTTTACTGAAAAACTCCCAGATCTATCAGCTCTCCTTCTGATCTGGATTTTATTACCAAATTCTTAGAGTATACCCTTCATTCTATTTTGAATATTGAGATGGATAGTGTTCCACGTTAGTCTGCACAGACTGCTTTAGAGCCTTATACACATCACTTACTTTACTCTGTGTGTGAGTTTGTCTTACAGTAAAACATCCTACATCTGAAGTATATGTCCTAACTTCACCTTATCTTGACAGATAAACACTGTTTATTTTTATTAACTCTATCTGATTACACATAAGTCAAGATATATTTTAAACTCACAAGGTCTGAATGGAGATGGTCCCAGTTTTGAAAATACAGAACTGAAAACAAATACAATGGTCAACATCATAATAATAATAAGAAGAAGAAGAAGAAGAAGAAAAAGAAGAAGACATTCAGTTTTGGGTACAAAATCATCAAGGAAAATCAGTAAAACTATGCTCTAAATACAAGTAAAAGCACAATTACAAACAACAGGAGAAAATGAGCTGCAATACTCTAGACATATACTAGCCTAGCCCATTGTAGAGGGGTACTATTTGTTTAATTTGGATGTGTGCCTTAAGTAGTAAAACATATGCATAACAGCATTACAGATATAAGATAATTAAAATGATTAGTATCCAGTGTTACACCGAAGTCTTTACCTGTAGCTTTTGGCTGCACTGAGAAACCATTAAGGTCAACAATAAAATCTGTAATCTTATTTTATGTCTTCCACAATCTTCCACTAAGTGGAAATGAATTACCACTTATGTCCATTTCCATTATGTGTAACTCAGTTCCCAACCTTGCAAAACCTGACAGTGCATTCAGTTGGCATTTCTCACTGTGACAGGCAACTCCACTGAGCAAACAGACTAGTATACTTTTATGGCATTTGGCAGAAACTCTTATTCAGAGCCTTACAATTTCAATTATGTCACATGGGTAATGTAGCATTAAGTCTTGCCTAAGAGGTCTTTTTGGTATAGCATATTGGGCTTGCCCAGGCAGAGTATGGGTGGGCAGCTGTGTCCCAATTGTAACTTTTTTAATTTGCAAAAAGAAGAGGTTAACCATACTTGGTGGATCTCTCAAATGAGTCTTTCCACTTCCTTCATCTGGCTTAGCCAACCCCACTTCTGACACCAATGTGAAAACGTCACAAGAGGAACCAGGAAACATAGTGGAAACAGCATGCTTTTATTTTGGACTTTGCTCACAGTGGTGAGCATGCATTTGGTGACTTGACTCAGTAAGGATGTTAATCAGGATAACAAAATCAGGATAGGGATATAGATAATGATATCATGCACATTTCACTTAGAAGTAAGCAACTGCCAGTCAAACTTATTGGTTTGATCTAATATCATACTTCAAACCTGGTAGTGAATGACTGGGAGCACAAAAACATTTTTCTTTGGACTACAAAATACTGCATCAATTACCAATGTAGCTAGGGCCCCCTTCATGGGAGGTGACTCAAAAAGTTTTTTCAACACCCTTCAGAGTTTTTGGAAATCCTAACAAGAGGGTGCACTGGCTCAGAAAAGCTGAAAAGCCATATTGATGCTAATGACCAAACTTCAGTCTGGAGAAACCTCTCACCAATTACAAGGTGAGAAAGACTCCCCCTCTCCTGAATGACCACCAGCCTACCAACAACCTGAATGAGTTCTGCTGCAGATTTGAATGCACCAGGACAATTTTCAGCCTATCTCAGCCAGTCCCCTGCCCTTCTCCCTCACCTAGGCTCTTTCACTTCTTCCCCGCTCATCGCACCATCAACTTACAGGATGTTAACAGCCTGGGAAAAGCGCTTGGGCAAGACTAGCCAACTAGCACTAGAGTGAACAGGTCTGTTGATGATGTGGCCAACTTGGCCCTGCAATTCATGCTACAGCATCTGGACAGTCCTGGAACCTATGCTACAGTTCTGTTTGTGGACTTCAGCTCAACATTCAATACCATAGTGCAATAGCTGCTGCAGGTCAAACTGCCTGAAGCTGTCTGTGCCAGATCCCATCTGCCGGTGGATCTGCCTCTGCTAAAAGATTCAGGACCATGTAAACCAACACAGCTAGACATGTTAACAGCTTTTTCCACAGAGCTATAGCAGTGGACACCTCACACTTTAAACTTAGACTGACCATCAAACCTCCTCACTGGTGTGTTAATGTGTGTTGTGCTGGCATGAGTGGACAAGACAAAGCAGTACTGCTGGAGTTTTTTAAACACCTCAGTGTCGCTGCTGGACTGAGAACAGTCCACCAACCAAAAATATCCAGCCAACAGCATCCTGTGGGCAGTGTCCTGTGACCACCGATGAAGGACTAGAGGATGACCAACACAAACTGTGCAGCAGCAGATGAGCTATCGTCTCTGACTTTACATCTACAAGGTGGACTGGCAAGGTAGGAGTGTCTAATAGAGTGGACAGTGAGTAGACACAGTGTTTAAAAACTCCAGCAGCACTGCTGTGTCTGATCCACTCGTACCAGCACAACACACACTAACACACCACGACCACGTCAGTGTCACTGCAGTGCTGAGAATGATCCACCTCCTAAATAATACCTGCTCTGTGGTGGTCCTCTAGGTGTCACCATTAATGAACACTGATGGCTGGCCTAAATATATTATGAAGTGAAGCACAAAGCTGTTTAATTTCTACACTTACTGGCCACCTTATTAGAAACACCTATCCTGTGCTTCCACTAATTGGCCACTAAATGTTGCAAAAGTTTTTTTTTGCACAACTTTTTTTTGTTAATGTCAACAGTTATGTGATGGAAGTCGAGTTGACATAGACTAATTGCTGATGTAGAGCAACAGATAGGTAGTGTGCTCTAAATTGAAAAAAGGCTTTACATGTTTGGTATCAAGGGAAAAATACTCTCCAAAACAAGGCATTCCTTAAATTAAAATGTCTTTATTGTATTGACTTGACCTATCTGGGCTATTAAAAAATGCCTATGTATAGTGACTCATGTCTCCTTCAGGGCATAATTCAAATAAGCTGATGATGTCATGAATCAAATCACAGAAGGTAATGCTTTGCAAGAAGTGACTTTAAAAGTCTGTGATAAAGCCGAACTCCACAGGTTAGTAGAGTGTGATGTGCCCTTTCCAGTGGGCCCTGGATTGCACTGCTAGCCTTCAGGGAACCAGAGATACGGAGCCTGAAATCACCAGGCTCTTTACCTTTTGTCTTCTCTGAGGCATCAATGTTTTTAGTGTAGTGGACATGTCGACTAGTCTGTGCAACCCCTACTGGCCATTTTAATAAAAGCACATCATTACCAATTTATCAGTTCCTTATAGCTCCACTCTGTAGATGTACAGTTACAGATTGTAGCTAATCTGTTGCTACACAGTTTTTCAGTTCCCCTCTGCTCCATTCATAATTGGACAATTTCTTCTGGGTCATTCTCAGCACAGCAGTGACACTGACACGGGAGTGAGTGTTGTCTGATGCAAGGATATCAGACACAGCAGTGTTGCTGTGGTTTTTACACATATCACTGTCACTGCTAGGTTGAAAGTGGACCGTCTACACAGAAGTTTCCAGACAAGAGCAGTTCTGTGGTCAGAAACTACAAAATTTAACTGTATGTCAGCAAGGTGGAGCTACAAGAGGAAAGGTTTCTAATAAATTGGACAGAAGGTGTATGTACTATTCCTGCTAAACAACTAAAACATATTTATAATCTTGTAAGTGATATGTGATCAATGGTCCTAATCAGGTATCAATACTTAAATAGAAATATTTTTAAAAAGTGTAATACTCACATCGGTTTTCTGTAGACAGTCACAGCTGGGACCAGTCTCCTATAATCCTCCTCTGATGTATTATATTTCTTCAAATTTAGCTCATCCAGAACTTCCTCTGAGGTCAGAAGCATGCTGGCTAGTGCTGAACACTGTCCAGGGGAGAGTTTCTCCTCTGAGTGTCTCTCTGATTTTAGATACTCCTGAATCTCTCTGGAGAGAGACTGGACATTCATTTCAGACAGACAGAGGAACAGATTGATGCATCTCTCAGTTGAGATTGGATGTTGTTCATCTTCTTTAATTAATTTCTTGATGTACTTTGTGATTTCCTTTGAGCTGCTCTGTGTTGGGGTCAGTAGGCCCTGTAGGAGTCTCTGATTGGACTCCACTGAGATGCCAAGAAGGAAAAGGAGGAAAAAATCCAGGTGTCCATTCTGACTCTCTACTGCTTTAATCACTGCTCTCTTTAGCACTTCATCCAGTGGAACATTCTCAGACCACTGTCTGTTTAATGGGTTAAATATCTGCAGTTCCTCCATGTTCTTGTTCCCATAGCAGTGAAACACATAAAGAGCAGCCAAGAACTCCTGAAAGCTCAGATGAACAAAGCAGTAGACCTTCCTCTTGTAAAGCACACATTCCTCCCTAAACATGTCAGTGAAAATCCCAGAATACACTGAGGCCTCAGTGTCATCAATGCTGCACTCTCTCAGGTCCTCTTCATAGAACATTACATTGCCCTTCATCAGCTGTGTGAAAGCCAGTTCAGCCAGTTTCAGATGCATGGTTCTGTTGGATTTGAAAATTTTTTTGGGGTCTCTCTCATCTGGCTCATACTTCTCATTCTTCATGTTGGTCTGAGTGAGCAGGAAGTGTGAGTACATTTCAGTCAGAGTTTTAGGGATTTCTGTATGAGGCTGTTTCATGATTCTCTGAAGAACAGTGGCTGAGATCCAGCAGAAGACTGGAATGTGGCACATGATGCGGAGGCTCCTCACTGTCTTAATGTGGGAGATGATTCTCTGGGCTTGGTCTTCATCACTGATCCTCTTCCTGAAGTACTCCTCCTTCTGTGGGTCACTGAATCCCTGAATTTCTGTCACACGGTTGATGTATTTAGGAGGGATCTGATTGGCTGCAGCTGGTCGGGAGGTGATCCAGATCAAAGCAGAGGGAAGCAGCTCTCCTTTGATGAGGTTTGTCATCAACACTCCCACTGATGATGTCATGGTGATGTCAGATACTTTCTCACACTGTTCAAAGTTCAGTGGAATTCTGCTTTCATGTAAACCATCAAATATAAACACAGCTTTGATCTGATCATAAATCTTTGGGTCCTGATCTTTGAGCTCAGGATGGAAGTCACACAGAAGATCATGAAGACTGTATTGACCATCTTTAATCAAGTTCAGCTGCCGGAACGGAAGCACAAACATGAAATCTACATCCTGATTGGCTTTTCCTTCAGCCCAGTCCAGAATGAACTTCTGCACAGAGACAGTTTTTCCAGTGCCAGCGATGCCTTTAGTCAGAACAGTTTCTGAGCTGTGGTATTTTTGGTACTTCGTCCTCTTTTCTTTCTTTGTTTTTTTCTTTGTGTCTAGGACCTTCAGGCACCCCAGCTGTAATTTATCTCATTCTCTGCTTCTCCTTCAGGACCATGCAGAGATCTAAATATATCTGAGCAGTGGATTGGAGTGCCCTGTAAGTGTCTCCTGGATGTTTTCTCCCTTTGTGGAACCTCATGTTCTTCATTCACTCCTTCACTCTCTCCCTCTATGATGTAGAACTGAGTGTAAATCCTGTTCAGGAGAGTTTCATTTATTTCTGTGATTCCCTCACATAAGTTCTCATACTTGTTCTTCATGCTGGTTTTGTGTGTCTCTAAGACACTGTGCTGGTTGTAAACCATTGGTTGGTAAGAATCCAGCTGTAGGTGTCCGGTCTCCTCCACCAGAGTGTTTATCTGCATTGCTGTTTCTGTGGAGTGCTGCCTAGTGGGAGTCAAACACAACAACACAAACATCATTGACACAAATTACCATAATAAACTGCTGAATGTTAAACTGCTTGCTACATCACTTTCACATGCTATTTCATGAGTGTCCTGTTTATTTTGTCCTGTGTTTTCTTTCTTTCTTTTTATCTTTCTTTCTTTACTTATGTCTCTCTCTCCCTGTCTCTCTCATTCTTCTATTCTCCTATGTGGATGCTGTCTGCCATCTCCCATTTTGTTGACCAATTAAACTTGCGGAGTTCTGGTGCAGGAGGAGGGGCCTTGATTTTAAAAGTAGCAAGGCAGTGTTCATCAAGAAGGCCAGAGTTTCCTCTTGACAAAATTTGCTTCCAGTTGTTGGTTGTAGCTTTGTAACTGTGTTGAGTCTTGTAGTCATGCTAGCTTTGTAGCTGCTTTTGGGCCAGATTCACAAAATTTAGCAGTAACAGCATTAAGTAAAATGTTCAACATGGTAAATATTTTTTTTAATTTGTGGACATCATGTTTAAGTGTTTCCCACCAATAACGGTTTGACGAAAGTTGTTGCATACGGATTTCACCAAGATGACCAGAGGTGAGAGAAGAATGAGTCCATGTAATCAAATGGTCATGAAATTGAACTGGTACATTTAGCTTATCCTGTGGGCAGTTGTGAGGAACGTTACCATTGTCTAGAACTCTAGTAATCCTATCATCAATCTCCCAGCAAATGGCAGTTATCTGAACAGACAGAGAAAGAATAGGTTTAGGCTCAGACTGATTGCACCTACTCCAGTCCCCGAAGCATCCACTTCTACTACAAATGGTTTGGAAGGATCAGGGTGTGGCGGATGACGTGTCTTTGTATAGAAGTAGTATCACACCCTGAGCTAAATACTTCCAGCATCACCTCACAAGGCTGTGATATGCCAGATGTCTGTACCAGCTATCAAAAAATGTATAAAGTTGTTGGACCGATAAAGTGAGGATTCTAAGTCTCCATAAAGCTGCTGGTGTTGCATCCCATTCTCATTTCCCTTCACAACTCAAACTCACAGGTGCAGGAGTCACTGAACAGAAATCAACGGCAAGCAAAACTGGAACTATGGAAAGCAAAACAGTTCAGCAAAGGTTAACATTAAATGGCCATTGTTACCAACTGTGTCAGCCTTTCATCCGTGCAGCCTTTCTCAAACTTTTTTTCCTCTTTCCGTAGTCCCAGTGTTGCTTGCAGTTGATTTCTGTTTAGTGAGTGCACGCGCCTGTTGGTTTGATTTATCAGAATCAGAATCAAGCTTTATTCGCCAGGAATGCTTATACATACAAGGAATTTGGTTTTGGTTACCGGAGCACACAGTGCACAGTATATACATGCATTCCTACCATCACTCACTTATACACACACACACACACACACACACACACACACACACAATGTGAATTTTGAACTGAATCTGATGTAACACAGATAAGTGCCATGAACAGCCTGCAGAACATAAGTATTTAGGGCCACTGCAGCAGATCCTGGCTGACTGTTGATGCAGTCTGTGACCTTGATGTCAAACTGAATGAAACTTAGACAGTGTTCAAAGAAAACCACTCTATTCATTCGGAATTCACTGCAACTAAGAAATCAGGACTTGGTTTTATCAAATAATGACCTGCTGAACAGCTAGTTGTCACAGTTTTGGGAAATGCTGTCTGTGGCTCATACTGTTAAGAGTCAAGATGCACAGCCTGATCAGAGACCCCTTCCCTCGTTGAAGATGGGGATGGTAGTCGAGAAAAATTGTCAACCTCGTACGACCTCTCAGTTGCAAAAGTGCCGTTTGATTCTGTCTCTCTCCATATTTTCTGGTAGCTAAAGTACTCTAGATCTAATAACACAGCAGCCCAGCCCACCCGGTTTCCCTAGCAGCACCACCTCCAAACCCTTAGATCACTGCAGTGCCCCTCCCAGTGTGCCCCTCCCATTTTTTAGCATTTTTGTTGAGCCAGGGGTGGAGCTGAAAATAATGAGGTGGAGTTACTCTTTAAGACTCCCTGTGCATTAATGTTATTGCCTAGAAATGAGACTCTTTGTAAATAAAATTCACATTTCTTCTTTAACAAATAAAACATTCTATAACAGACATTGTAAGACTTGGCGGACCCGCTGGACGTGAGTGTTGTAGTCAGGTGAGTAAATCAGAATGTCATCTATGTATGCGATCACAAACTCCAATCATGTCCCAGAGGATGTCGTTTATGAATGACTGGAAGACTGAAGGTGCATTGGACAGACCAATTGGCATGATTGAGTATTCATAGTGCTCCCTCGTGGTGATGAATGCAGTCTTCCCTTCATGCCTTTCTTTAACATGTACTAAGCTATATGCTCTGGTGAAATATTCCACACCACAAAGTTGTTCCAGGGCAAAAGGGGTCAAAGGCAGAGATTGAGAGAATTTCTTAGTGATGTTATAGAGTGCACTTGCGCTAATGCCTCCTCAATGAATTCTCCCATGGCTTTCTCTTCTTCTTGGATCAAAGCATACATACAGGATTTAGATAAGGTGATACCTTCTATGATATCAATGGAACAGTCATAAGTACAGTGAGGAAGAAGTTTAGTGCGATACTGAAAACCTCAACCAAATCAGAGAATTCAGATTTGAGAAGTGTGTGTGGGTTCTGAGCTCTCTATGGAAGTAGACCTAACCTTAAGTTCTAGAGAAGTGAGTCAATTTTAGAAGCAAAAATCTGACCAAACAGTGATTTCTTAATTGGGCCAAGAGATTTGAGGGTTGTATTTCTGTAGCCAGGGGAGTCCTAAAATGACAGAGAATTCAAATGAATCAATGACTAGAAAGGGCAATTGTTCTGCCCTCTGTAACTGGAACTGGCAAAGGAATAGGAACTGGAACTGGATCTATAATTCATGTAAGTGCGGAGAGAACATTTGTGCAAGGGCCATTTTTTGAGACGTTGGTCTTATAGAACAGTCAATGCGTTGATCCAATGTCAAACTGTCATCTTTACATGCTAACTCTGTAAGTACATCTGGATTGAGTCCTTTTCAAAATGCTACTAGGAGTGCATTTTCGTTCCAACCACTTCCTGTGGCTAAGGTGCAGAACTGCAGAGCATAGGTTGACACTGAGCAATTGACTTGCTCGAGTTTGCACTAACATTCTCGACTTGAGCAACCATCATGAGGAAAATCAAATACAAGCTTAAAAGTCTTTCAGAAATTTTTCATATGTCATGTCTTATATACGAGACCACCCAGCTGTAGGCCACTGTAAAGCTTTATCTGACAGGTGTGATATAACAAAAGCTATTCTGGCCTGATCAGAATTAGGTGGACAATTATTGAAAAACACAGAGTATTGAAGAAGGAAACCCCAACATTTTTGGGAGATCTATCGAACTTATCCGGTTTACTCACAGGACAACCCAGGGTGTTACTCACTGAAGTGGTCTTGGGGCAGAAACAGGAACAGGTGAAGAGACGGAGAGATTTCACAGTTTTGTAGTGATGTCTCTGATTTCTGTCAGGAGCTGAGCGAGGGCCTGCTGTTCAGCTTCTTGTTGTGTGAGGTCACTGACAGACGGAGTAACTCCGGCTAACACCTGTTTGTAATGTCTCAGAAACCGCCCTTGGTTGCTCAGGACCTTCTGAACAGCCTCTATGTCTGCATGATTGCGAAGTAATCTGTAACGGTGGCAGACAGAACTAGAGGCTCGTAGAAGAAGCTTGAGTTAAGAGCTTCAATGCCAAAAGCATCATCCAAGACCACAGTCGAAAAACAGAAACAGATAGCCGAAAACCAAAGATCCAAAACTGCGCAAAGGGACAAGGCAAAAATGGAATACAGGTCATAGACGAAAATAAGATAATAGACATTAGAGAAACACTCGTTATGCACGACAAGGTGAGGATACTTCGCAAAGTGTGGTTGCAAACAGATGGATTATATACACAGAGAAACAGGTGTGAGTGATTTAGAAGTCCGGAGAAGCTTTGTGTTGATAGGTAGATTGGGTTGAGTCCTGAGTCAAGTGATGAAGTGAGGGGTTCTGGGAACTGTAGTCTGAGACCACCGAGTTGACTGTACTTTCAGCTGGGCCGGAGGGAGGCGTGACAAATTGCAACTATTAGTAATCCTCATTTATAAATGAGCAAACGTGTTACCACCATACTATTTTCTTATTTTTTCTTAACGTCACATAAATCTGGTGCATTTCATGAATCTGTCCTTTTGAGTCTTGTAGCTATCTTTGCAACTGCTAGCTTTGTAACTGTTTTCAGTCATGTGGTCACGCTAGCATTGTAACTGTTTTGAGTCTTGTAGTCATGCTAGCTTTATAACTTTTCAGTCTTGTAGTCATGGTAGCTTTATAACTTTTCAGTCTTGTAGTCATGGTAGCTTTATAACTTTTCAGTCTTGTAGTCATGGTAGCTTTGTAACTGTTTTGAGTCGTGTAGTCATGTAGTCATGCTAGCTTTATAACTCTTTTCTGTTTTGTAGTCATGCTGGCTTTGTAACTGTTTTCAGTCTTGTAGTCATGGTAGCTTTGTAACTGTTTTGCATCTTGTAGTCATGCTGGCTTGTACTGTAATGTTTTTCTCACTGGAGAAAACATTCCATCCTCTCTAACTCGTACAGAACGCAGAAGCACGGATTCTCACAGCACGAACACAGAGAGCTCATATCACCCCATTCACACACTGCACTGACCGCCTGGATCTGTTAGAGAGAGTTTAAAGCTCTGCTGCTAGTTTTGAAAGCTCTAAATGACATTAAAGCTCCTGAACGTCTGTCTGTTTATCATAGATCTGCAGATACTGACCTTCAAACACCTTCAGTAAAACACAGAAAACGTGGAGAGACTCTTTCATTAATTCTGCTTCTAAACTGTGGAGCTCAGTTCACCTTTTATTAAACTTTTAATAAACATCTGAAAACATATCTTCTTAATATAGTTTTTATTTCAAATTCTAAAACTTTTTATGTTATCTTTTTTAATTTGATTTTGAATTTAATTTAATTTTACTATTAAGTCTAATCACTTCTCTGTAAAGCACTTTGTGCTCTTTCTGAAAAGTGCCCTACAAATAAACAAGAGTTTTCACTTTTTTGTGGGAGAAAAAAGTTGTGCCATGATGTAGCTGCCCTCACTGTGATTTACACCAGCATCGTCATTTGAACAGAGAAGAAATGTACCACATGACCACAGCAGGACAGTGTAGTGGGAGCTTGTTAAACCAGAGCTGATCTGCTGATCTTAAAACTTACTGAAACTACAACTTGTTTGAATACCATTCAACATTAACGTTACCACACATGTTAAAAGTTTAATACTCTTCATACACACACAACTGGGCTCTACTCACCCACTGCTGAATCCAGGAGGGTCGAACATGGACCAGTCTCTCCTCATAGACACACTGCTGGGTTCAACTCCCTCACTGCTGAATCCAGAAGGGTCGAATATGGACTGGTCACTCCTAATAAGCATATGGCTGGGTTCCACTCCTCCTCTACTGAATCCAGGAGGGTGGGACATGGATCCATCTCTCTTCATAGGCACATAGGGTTCTACTCCCTCACCGCTGAATCCGAGAGGGTTGAATAAGGACTGGTCACTCCTAATAGACACACAGCTGGGTTCTACTCCCCCACTGCTGAATCCAGGAGGGTCGGACATGGACATATCACTCCTCAAAGAGAAACAGCTGGGTTCTACTCCCTCACCGCTGAATCCAGGAGGTTTGGACATGGACTGGTCACTCCTAATAGACACACAGCTGGGTTCTACTCCCTCACTGCTGAATCCTGGAGGGTCGAATATGGACTGGTCACTCCTAATAAGCATATGGCTGGGTTCCACTCCTCCTCTACTGAATCCAGGAGGGTGGGACATGGATCCATCTCTCTTCATAGGCACATAGGGTTCTACTCCCTCACCGCTGAATCCGAGAGGGTTGAATAAGGACTGGTCACTCCTAATAGACACACAGCTGGGTTCTACTCCCCCACTGCTGAATCCAGGAGGGTCGGACATGGACATATCACTCCTCATAGACAAACAGCTGGGTTCTACTCCCTCACCGCTGAATCCAGGAGGGTCGGACATGGACTGGTCACTCCTAATAGACAAAGAGCTGGGTTCTACTCCCCCACTGCTGAATCCTGGAGGGTGGAATGTGGACTGGTCACTCCTAATAGACAAGTGGCTGGGTTCTACTCCCCTACTGCTGAAACCAGAAGGGTCGGACAAGGACTGGTTTCTCCTAATAGACACACGGCTGGGTTCTACTCCCTCACCGCTGAATCCAAGAGGGTCGGACATGGACATATCACTCCTAATAGACAAACAGCTGGGTTCTACTCCCTCACTGCTGAATCCAAGAGGGTTGAATATGGACTGGTTGCTTCTAGTAGACACACAGCTGGGTTCTACTCCCCCACTGCTGAATCCGTGAGGGTCCAATATGGACAGATCACTCCTAATAGATACACAGCTGGGTTCTACTCCCCCACTGCTGAATTCGAGTGTGTCGAATATGGATAAGTCACTCCTAATAGACACATGGCTGGGATCTATTCCACCACTGCTGAATCCAGGAGGGTCCAATATGGACCGGTCACTCCTAATAGACACACGGGTGGGTTCTACTCCCCCACTGCTGAATCCAGGAGGGTCCAATATGGACTGGTCACTCCTAATAGACACACGGCTGGGTTCTACTCCCCCACTGCTGAATCCAGGAGGGTCCAATATGGACCGGTCACTCCTAATAGACACATGGCTGGGTTCTACTCCCCCACTGCTGAATCCAGGAGGGTCCAATATGGACCGGTCACTCCTACTAGACACACGGCTGGGTTCTACTCCCCCACTGCTGAATCCAGGAGGATCGGACATGGATCCATCTCTCTTCATAGACACACAGCTGGGGCCAGGAGATTCTGCACGCTTCACCCTGAGAGAAGTTCATCCCCAATTAGAGTAAAGTGCTGAGTAATTACATACTTTACTAAAGCTCATGTTTAATTTGAGTGACATAAACAATATTTAATCTTTCTTTTTTTCTTATCTTTCATTATTTTTTGTTTCAATGCTGATGGAAAGTTACTCACTTTGGGTCAGAGGTTCCTCCACTGTGAGAGTGATGGAGCCCCATCACTGAGGTTTTACACTTCGCACACTCAGCTGGACCGCTCCCTGTGAACAGTTCATCCATACAAAACACACAGGATGTGTAAGCAGATCTACTAACATGGTCTCTGAAGGATTGCATCTTTCAGAATGTCATGTGTTGTTGGTTTTGCATGTTTGCGTTAAACTTGCTCACTAAAACACAATCAAAACAACAGATTAAAACTATTAATCAACATTGTAAAAACAATTAATTAATTAATTGATTAGTCGAACAAACAGTTGAATCAAACTGTCAAACAGAGGGAATATGAAGGAAATTGTACAGAAATAGAACCATTATAAGCTTCTAAAAAGTAGCCCACAGGGTCAGACAGTAAGAAGATATCCTGGAACAGGGCTTTTACTGCCCGGAGACAGTGTTTGTCATGAGATGCACCAAATATTTCATGAAATGAAACATCAACTCGTTCACGGCTCATTTTTCCTCAGTATACCATTCTTTTGTCATAAACTGTTGCTTGACTGTGAAACAAGAAAATACCCTTTGTTGCTCTGTAATTATATGTGACCTCTTCAGCTCTTACCTTCAGTATGAACACATATTAATACATGTCATACAGTTAGTTTTGTTGGACGTCACATGTCTAAATCGGTTCTGATCCATGTTATCAGTTAGCTTAGCTCTGTGCTCTGATCACTGTTTCTCACAGCTACACTGGTGAGGTGATGGAAAATAACCAGCTGAGAGGAGGAAACAGGAATATTTGGTATGTGGTTGGTATTCTAACCTGAGGCCTCCAGCAGAAAACAGGTTAGAAGTGATAAGTGTGACAGCATGTCCCTTACACTGTAGTTAACTTGACCCTTGATAACTGCCCTTCATACAGGACAGTTAAACAGGCTTAAAGTCCCCCATCCTGCATCTAAATAGTTCTGATCTTGTCACCCTGCAAGTGAATCTAATTTTATTTATTGCATTTTTTGTTACATTATTTTTTCTTTTACTCTTTTTATGTTTTACCATCTTTTTCCTAATTCCCTCGTTTTTAATATTTTTTTGGAACTTTTAACAGTTACCACATGAAAATCCTCAATTACATATTTTATCTTTTGTAAATTTCCCACAAAACAACCACTAACTGCTCACACTACTCTACTGCACTGTACACACACACTAGCCCTCGTTATTTCAGATCTCAGCCTCAGTTTAGTGTTAGATGTTTACTGTCAGTGCAATAACAAATGAACTGATACCTGACAAACAAATAACACTGCAGATACTGATAGAAACATAACGTTTGAATTCAACGCTTCCTTTTCACAACTTTTTACAAAACTGCTTACAATTTGTGAAACATTCGAAAAAGGGAACCAAACAAGTTCAAATCAAAACAGTTTTTGATCGGAACAAAAATGAGAGTGAAAAACTACCCAAACTTCACTTCGCTGTTCCAGCTTTTCATAAACATTAATGTGAAATCTCTGGTTAATAAAGTCATTTTTACTCACCTGCAAATTAATAAGAATGTAAACTTCCAGCATGTGATCTTAGATCTTCAGATACCGCAGATACACCCTGTAAATATTCAGAAAAGAGTGGAGAGGCCTCTCTCTCTCCCTCTCTCTGCCTCTCTCTCTCTCTCCTCAGTGATGTGTGATGTGAGATACCTGTGGATCTGGCTGGACTGGCTGAGCTGAATCATCTGGAGAGAGTGTAGTTATGACTGCTGCAGGTAGAACAAGAATAAAAGAAACTCTGTGCTTGTGTGTGTGTGTGTGGCTGGTTGGGTGGGTGTTGGTGTGGGTGTGGCTGGGTGGGTGTGGGTGTGGCTGGGTGGGTGGGTGTGTGTTGGGTGTGGGTGTGTGTGTGGGTGGGCGTGTGTGTGTTGGGTGTGGGTGTGGCTGGCTGGGTGGGTGTTTCTGTATTGGGTGTGTGTGTGGTGGGTGGGTGTGGCTGGGTGTTTTGTTTACTATTTAGCTAAATGAATATACAGCAAACCCAGTTCATGTTTAGTCTCACTTTACTGATCTCTCTCCTACTCTCTCCCTCTCTCTCTCTGTCTCTCTCTCTCTCTCTCTCTCTCTCTCTCTCTCTCTCTGTCTCCTGCTCTTTCTCTCTCTCTCCTGCTCTCTCTCTCTCTCTCTCTTTCTTTTCCTTTCTCTCTCTTTCTCTCTCCTTTCTCATTCCCTCTCTCTCTCTCTCTCTGTTTCTCTCCCCTCTTTCTCATTCCCTCTCTCTCTCTCTCTCTCTCTCTCTCTCTCTCTCTCTCTCTCTCTCTTTCTCTCTCTGTCTCTCTAACTCTCTACAGCCAACCGGGCTGTTCAGGACTCCAATTCCCAGAACTCCTTGCTGCATCACATGACTCTCACATGACTATGGGCTCTCTGTTATGTCCAAGTGGCCTCTGCTGCTGCCCTCTGCTGGTCGTTTGGGTTTCGTCTTTTTCTCTGTTTCCTAGGTGGAGCTCTGTGGATCTGTTCGGATCAGCTGATCTGGTGCGACTGATGTCAGCCGATGACAAAGCGTGCCCTGATTGGTGGCTGAATGAAGATTCACCAAAAAGTGACAGCCATGAGATGCCGTTGGTCCGCGGTGTTTTCACCATGTGGTCCATGATGGTCTATAGGGAAGCTGTGTTTTTGTCGTTCACCTGATTGGTTTGGCACTATGGACCAGTTAGACTTGTGAACTAGATTTCTGATGTTTGTGCTGGTGATTGAGACTCAGTGTTGTTTAGCTTCTATCTATTCAGTGCTTGTACCATATTGCCTGTTCTATATTACCATACCTCACAACTATGCAGGGGGGGGTGCCATTTATTTTGATCTATATTATTTTCTCCTGTTTACCTGTTGAGGTGATTTTTGTATTTTAGGGAAGGTCGATTCATGAGGGTGGCTTTAGAGGTTTTTGTTTGTTTTTGGTGTCAGCCCACCCTGAAGGCAATACCTTTTGTGACTGTTTGCCTTTATGCATAATACAACCTATTCACTTGAGCATTAAATCGGTACTAGACTAGTCTAAATCCAGGGTGGACAGCAGAAAGGGGTCGTAACATCTCACAGATTCACCCATCCGTGCTCCTCATCTCCAGAATTCTGATTGCACTCACCCCTGTTCCTTATTTCCTGTCATTTAGTTTAGTATATAAGCCCAGGCTTTAGGATAGTTACTTTGTGAAGTATCGTCACCCAAAGTGTGTCTCTGACTGCCGACCTGTATGTGACCCGTTTTCTGTTTTTGACTTTGATTCTTGCTGTACCCTTGTGTTCTCTATTGGTTTTTTGGTTCTTGACTTTCTGCTTTGGCTTTTCAACTGTGATTTTGAACAAAGCCCTTTGTTATTAAAGATCTAAACTCAAGCCTCTGCTGTGAGCCTCTGGTTCCACCAACATTACAAATATAGACAAAAAGGAAAAAAGAAACCAGCTTGTCATTGGACAGAAGTGTTTAGATGAATCACTGATCAATAATCTGATAAGTACTGTTAGAGGCCTATCAGAGTAAAAGTGAGAAATAGATTTTTATAAACCGGATGATTCTGGTCCTAAAATCTGATTGGCTGAGCCACATTTGAAGATGTTGTAAAATACACAATATACGCATCAAACAGCTGAACGCTGTGTCACTGCACCACGTCACATCACTCTAATGCTGCTCACATGGAGCACTGAGTGTACTGATTAAATAAGAACCCAGTTCTGTTTAAACTGAGAGGCTGATGGCTTATTTTCCTATCTAGAACCAGGCTGGTCAGCTAGCTAACAGGCTAAAAGATAGCAGACATGCTAAACAACTCCATCATTAACATCACAGGCTTGAATTAAAGCACTTACGATATGATTCACTGTAAAACAGCAGTATAAAAGTCTAAAGAATGTCACCTGAATGTCTCACATGCTTCGAATGTCTGTGTTTCAGTCAGAACTTGCGTCAAACCCAGGCTGAGTCTCATGACTCCATGCTCCCTACATAGTGTGCTAGGGAAGTTTTAATATTATAGCCTCTGCAGCCAAACAGTGCATCATTTATTGAGTGTGGATGTGTCCCAAAAGACTGTTAGTTAGTTACAATTAGTTGTATTTTGCTCTGCTGGGCTGCAGGATCCAGTATTTGAACTCCTACGTAGTGGACTATGTAGGGAGCAGGGAGCCGTTTGAGATTCAGCCCCAGTGTGAGAAGAGGGCACCGCTGGATTGGCGCTAAATAAGAAGGTGGTAATTTGGTGACCAGAAAGTGCTTATAAAGCGAAAGTTTCTGCATTAAACACTGCTGTATTATCATATGTTCATCTTTATATGACAAAAGGTTTTGATATGACTGCAGAAAACAGTGATGGATGACCGAACGTTCTCTGCATTCAGTTTTACATGGCTGCTTGGCAACAATACCATACTCTAAAGTAACTACATTTCTTAGTGGAATACTTGTTTATGTTGATGATTATTAACAATAACTTAATTTCTTTTTATAAAAGCAATAAGCCACTGGAGGCCGTGTATTACAGTGATTTCAGCACAGCTAAGGGGGTTTTACTACACTTCATGTAATGCCTAAGAATATCCTTCCTAATTAATGTGCAAGTAAGCAGATTGTGGTGTTGGTATCAACCATAGTAGTGAGTTTTATTCACTTGCAGTCAGGCAGCCTTACAGATCCGATGGATGATTCTGAGCACTTCAGTGAAAGTCTGTGAGGCCACAGGACCCGAGTCTGGAGATTTGGATCGGGCATATCAGTGCAACTTAATATAGTATTAGGTAGAATATTAAAAAAAAGGAAATCGTTTGATAATTAAAGTCCTGTGAACAATAGAGTTCAATACACCAATCTATTATGTTTCTAAACATAAAGACAGTAACACAGTGTAAAGAGATGAACTCACTCCACAGTTAAAGCAATGTTTCTGGAGTCATTTTTTAATTTTCATAATAGTTACAGAGGTTTGACTGTGTATTACATAGAGATTCAGATTGTGTAGGACATAAACAGTAAGACACATTAGAATAGCTACGTTTCTTGATAATATACACTATTGCTTCCTTCTAATACAAAAATGAGATGTTCTCTCGTGAATAAGGCTGGTGTAATTAGATTAAAATTACATTATGAATGTAGAATAGTTTTCTCTGGATGCTGTCCAGAAGGATTTAATGGTGTGAAACTGATTGAGAGCAAAAGACAATAAATAAAGTTACATGAAAATCTTGAGATAAACAGCTGCAGTCTTAGAAACAGCAGTATGTCTGATCAAAATATATTAACAATATTGTAAAATTACATACAAAAAGTGTGCAAAAGTCCAAGACATCCATGCAAAACCGATGAAAACCATTTATGTGGGCATTAAGTGTGTTTCCATATAGGATTGGAGTGAATGCGAACAACATAAATGCAGTAAAAAGTAAGAGGAATTGGTAACACTTTCTATGAATGTCACATTTGTATGCATCTATAAACACATTCATAACATGTTATAATGCATTCATAAGGCATCATAAACATGGCTATAAATATTTATTAAAAAATGCATTACACGTTATAGCCATGATAATTATGCATTATGAATTGTTAAAATAATACATTATAAGTACTGTTCATAACAAATTATAAGAGCTCATAAGTCGTATTTGTCCGCTCTAAGTAAAGTAAAGCATACTGTACTAAAGCCTCCTCCAGTGTTCAGAGTGAGGCTTCAAGTTGAAGTATTTACTGAAGGATTTACTGAAACACTAAAACATTCACAATAAAGCACATTACAGGCTTCAAATGTCAGAGTTTAAACTAGTGCTGCCATCAGTGTTTTACCCAATGTGGGAAAGGTAATGTTCACCACCGTTAGCTTGGCACTACCTTAACACTGCATATCCAATAGAATGCTAACAATACTGTACTGTAGTGTAGTGTTACAGAGTGAAAGTTACAGAGTGAAGGGCATAAAAAGACGTATGTGTCTTTACTTCACTTTTGGCAATGACTATAGCATGTAATTAACACTACTTTGTCATGCATTATAGTAACAATTCATAATGTATAATAAACATGGCTATAAAGTGTAATTCAGTGTAATTCATTTTTATAAATATTTATAACCATGTTTATAATGCCTTATGAATGCATTATAACATGTTATAAATGTGTTTATAGATGCTTACAAACATGACATTCATAGAAAGTGTTACCAAAGAATTTGTTGTTTTGCAAAAAAGGAGTTATCTTGAGTCAGTTAAAAGAACACAGGTTTGTTTCCTGATTTCTCTCCAGCCATCACATGGATTTGTATGGTTCAATCAGCAGCACCTGATTTAATTCAATGAAGTATTGATTAGATAAAGCAGGTATTGGACGATATCTACAAATAATCCTGAGCTTCCTCAAGGACAGGGCAGGAAATGCACACTGACATACATAAATTAATGCTTAGTGTATTCATGATTACTAGGTAACACTGTTAAGGGGTCGCAAATTAATTGGTAATTACATGCTAATAAGGAAAACTAACTAATGCTTAATGAACAGTTAACTAATTAATTCTTATGTTACCTGTTCATTAAGCATCATCTAGTTATGGATTAAGTACTTAGTAATTGAGTACACTGTTCATTGATAGTTTAGTTTGTTTTTAGTTCACAGCATAATTATTCATTAACTGTGCACTAACTGCCGCTTATTACATCGTTAATACACTGACGTGTTTACTCATATAATAAACCTGAGAACTAACTAGTACTAATAGTACTAGTACTATTAGTACTAGTATTAACCCAGTAAAGAGATCATTTTTACTATTAATTATAATCCGACCTCATAATTAAGACTTGAATAGTTACTGATATTTAAATTTTTCTCTGCTTGTTTTTGTGTCACATTAGTAATTTACGTTCATTCTAAACAACAGAATAAAATAACGGAAAACAATGACAGTTCGGTTTTTTTGTTAAACTATGAGTCCTTCACATTTACTCACCCAATAACAGGTTCTTAAATATTCAAAGATTGGGTTTTCATGTTTTCACTCCAAAGATCTCTCAGATATTATATTTGGCTGTTACATATTTCCATACACATTCAGTTTTGGGTCTGTCCTCCACTAAAAGGGTCAACAAAGTTTGTACTGTGATTCACAGTGAAGTGTTTACAGGCAGTTTTTAATCATGAATTCATGATATAATTAGTGTTTAGTGATGAAGATGAACACTTGGAGGGAAACAGTAGTAACTAATAGATGAGATATATGAAATATGGAGTAATTAAAGGTGAAAATGCAACAACAGCTCTGAGCACAGTGAGGCAGTGGACTATGTGGAGGTGAAGGAAAATGTCCATTGAAGCCCAAAGACTGGTGGAGGACAATATAACGATAAATAAGCAGGTAATTACCAGCACTACCACATATGTACTACTTAGTTTTCATGTTGTACGAGAAAACATTCATTAGCATTAGAACGGCAATGTAATGAGAAATTAGGCTGTGAACTAATAACAAAATAAACCATCATTTCAGAGTAGCCAATTAATAACTACTAAGTACATAATCAGTTATTAAGTAATAACCTATGCTTAAAGATCAGTAACTATTTACATAATGAGTAGTTAATGACTTACTAACAATGTAATGAATCTTTATTTTTCCTCTTAATGTAAGGTGTTACCATCATTTATATCAGTACTAATCTTAGTGTGTTTGTGGGGAAAATAAACACTGACTGCCCAAATAAACAGCTTTGTAAATGTAAATTCCTCAGCTTTCTAAAAGCTTTTACTCAGGACTGTATGTGAGAAAAGATCTACAGGCAGTTTCAGTGTGAAGATCCAGCACATGCTGCCAGCCTCTGAGATCTGCACAGTGGAAATATCTGCCTTTGTTTGTAAACACTGCTTAGTCTCATGAGTTCATGCTAAGTACAGAGGTCTGAACTCAGAATAATCATTCTACAAGTTGCCGTTTGCCAGTAATTTCAATTTGCCTCTCTACGAAGTCGCTAGCCGAATGAACAATCTGTATTAGAGTGTCCAGCATCAGGCGGTTTATGTCCGGCCTCAGCTGAGTCTCCTCGTAGTAGTTCTGCACAGGGAAGATGCAGTTCATAGGAACTCCCAGTCTGTGACTGCACACCTGCATCTACATAAACACACACACAGACATACACACACACTTAGGTTCTAGACATTGATAATATAAATGTAAGGTACACACTCTAAAGTACTAGGTAATTATTTTGAGTTACAAAATAGTTACAAGGAGTCTAAGTTAAATTAATGCCCAACAGGTTCTAGACATTAACTGGGTAAGTATGAGGTACAAACTGCAATGTACTAGATAATTATTTTATTACAGTTATAAATAATTATAATTATTACAGTGAAAATAGTGTGAGTTTGTTTGTATACCCTCCTTAATATGCCATAATAATCATAGCCTCTACTTGCTCAGTTAATGTCTAGAATCTGTTGAGCATTTCAATATAATTAAGTGAAACTGTCTCAGAATTTCCCATCATGTTACTCAACATAGCTATCTAGAGCTTGTACCACTTGCACCTACTGGTTAATACCTAGAACATAAGGGGCTGTATGTGTTATACATTTATCTGAGAACTGTTAGATGGGAGATCATTTTTCTAATAAAAAAAAGATATATAAGCCAAAAGTAGCAGAGTGACCCACTTTTTCCTTGATCTTCCTGCTTTGGTAGATCTTGTTTAAACTTTCCTTTACAATTTCGCATGCCTTGTCCACTCGGGTCAGCAAAACCATCTGAGGGATTCCTGCAAGATAGGAAGGAGACATACATGAACAGATCAGAGACAGACAATACAGAAACGGGAGTCTGAGGTTAGTAAAGGGAGTCTGAGGTTAGTAAAGGGAGTCTTATGTCAGTAAAGGGAGTCTTATGTCAGTAAAGGAGGTCTGATGTCAGTAAAGGGGGTCTGATGTTAGTAAAGGGAGTTTTATGTCAATAAAGGAGGTCTGATGCTAGTAAAGGGAGTCCTATGTTAGTAAAGGGGTCTGATGTTAGTAAAAGAAGTCTGATGTTAGTAAAGGGAGTCTGAGGTTGGTAAAGAGTGTATGACATTAGTAAAGGGAGTCTGATGTTAGTAAAGGGAGCCTGACATTAGTAAAGGGTGTCTGATATTAGTAAAGGGAGTCTGATGTCAGTAAAGGAGGTCTGATGCTAGTAAAGGGAGTCCTATGTTAGTAAAGGGGTCTGATGTTAGTAAAAGGAGTCTGATGTTAGTAAAGGGAGTCTGAGGTTGGTAAAGAGTGTATGACATTAGTAAAGGGAGTCTGAGGTTAGTAAAGGGAGTCTGAGTTTGGTAAAGGGAGCCTGACATTAGTAAAGGGTGTCTGATATTAGTAAAGGGAGTCTTATGTCAATAAAGGAGTCTGATGTTAGTAAAGGGAGTCTGATGTTAGTAAAGGGAGTCTGATATTAATAAAGGGAACATGATGTTAGTAAAGGGAGTCCAATGTTAGTAAAGGGAGTCTTATGTCAGTAAAGGGAGTCTGATGTTAGTAAAGGGTGTATGACATTGGTAAAGGAAGTCTGAGGTTAGTAAAGGGAGTCTTATGTCAGTAAAGGGAGTCTGATGTTAGTAAAGGGTGCATGACATTAGTAAAGGGAGTCTGACATTAGTAAAGGGAGTCTGATGTTAGTAAAGGGAGCCTGACGTTAGTAAAGGGAGTCTGATATTACTAAAGGAAGTCTGATGGTAGTAAAGGGTGTCTGATGTTAGTAAAGGGTGTAAGACATTAGTAAAGGGAACATGATGTTAGTAAAGACAGTCTGATGTTAGTAAAAGGAGTCTTATGTCAGTAAAGGGAGTCTGATCTTATCAATAGGAGGCTGATGTTATCAAAGGGAGTATGATGTTAGTAAAGGCAGTCTGATGTTAGTAAAAGGAGTCTTATGTCAGTAAAGGGAGTCTGACATTATCAATTGAAGTCTGACATTAGTAAAGGGACTCTGATGTTATCAGTAGGAGTCTGATGTTAGTAAAGGGAGTCTGAGGTTAGTAAAGGGAGGCCGACATTAGTAAAGGGAGTCTGACATTATCAATTGAAGTCTGATGTTAGTAAAGGGAGGCTGATGTTATCAATAGGTGGCTGATGTTATCAAAGGGAGTATGACGTTAGTAAAGGGCATCTGATGTAATCAAAAGGAGTCTCATGTTATCAAAGGGAGTTTGATGTTAGTAAATGGTGTCTGACGTTATAAATCGTAGTCTGACGTTAGTAAAGGGAGTCCGATGTTATCACACTGTAAGCCTGGATAAGTTGAATTTACTTAAAAAATTTGAGGAAACCGGTTGCCTTAAAAAAATTAAGTAATGTGTAATGAACACTTAGAGTTTTCAAACATACGTTTGTGCAACTCATAAATTTGAATTATTTTAATTTCACGTCTTGAAATTGCAATTTAACTATAAATTTCATTAGACAATTGAAATTTTTTTTCTATTTAAGTGAGATTAACCACTTTTCCAAACACCAAAGGGTTAACCTTTACTGTGAACATGGTCACTGACCAACACAAACCCCCACTCATCAGCAAAGAGAACGACAACCTTCACTCATAGCCAACAACACATTGTCAGGCAGCTGAGTAAAGCATATATGAAAAACATTTGCCTGAGGAAAGGCAACCTGGGTGGAACGAAAGCACACTGACGGTGAGTAAAACAAAGGGAAAGAAACACTCAGTATGCAAATAGATGGAGCCAGGAGCCAATGGGAAAGAAATATACATTTTATCTAATAAAATCATTGTTAACAAAACAAACATGTAACTGTATTCCACAGCTTACTTAGCTTCACTCTGTTTCACACATCTGTTCAGCATCTTTAATGAGAAAGAAACAATTTAAACCAACAGAAATGTTGTCATTTTTTTGAATATGGGGTTTCAAAGTTGCCATAGCAACAGACTAAACTAAATAGCAAAAAGTTAATTCAACTCAAAAATGTCATTTGGGATGTACAAAATCATCAAAAACATTCCCTTAACTTAAAATTGTTGAGCAATGTGTGGGATATACTGAGTTTTATGTACAACTGACTTAATTTATTTGATGTTTTGTTAAAACAAAATGCGGGTTTACAGTGCAGTAGGAGTCTGATGTTAGTAAAGGGAGTCTGATGTTAGTAAAGGGAGTCTGGTGTTAGTAGATGGAGTCTGATATTATTAAAGGGAATCTGATGTAAGTACAGGGCGTCTGTTGTTATCAAAAGGAGTCTGATGCTATCAAAGGGAGGCTGATATTATCAAAGGGAGTCTGATGTTAGTAAACATACTTTACTTTTAATGTAAGTCATTAAAACCAGACTTTTCTCTAAGTAGTTTTGGGCTGTTTCTTTTGGTCCATTCATCATGAAATTCACAGACAATGTAAAAGACAACAGGCATTTTCAAATTATGTCAAAAACTTTTATCAGTTTAGCAGCTGATAGTCTCGCTCAAATAGCATCACTAGTGATAAATCGTTGTTAAAGAATCAACATTACTTTCGCTGAATCAGCATTTTAATCTGTTGTTGATTCTTTTTCACCCTGAATGAACAAAGAAACAACAGTGAATGTTTAACAAGAACTTAACCTAAAACCTAAAATGCTCCCTCAGACATTTTTTAACCTTGTAGAAATCCCATAATGAAAAATAAAAATGTCATTAACATCATGGGGGTAATGTTACAGCCTTGTACCCTAGAGGTTGTTTTAAATAAACACTACTAACTCCTTTCCTCTAAAACAAAATTACACCGTTCCCCCTGAAAAAAGAGTGTCTGCAATTTGCTGTAAAATAAATTTCATTTAATTCACAATCATGCTGCCCTCGAGAATGTCTGTGCCCAGTCCAGTGTATGTGTGAACTCACCTAATGAACTTGCTGCTCTTCTGATGATCCTCATTTTGTCAATGACACCATCGCTCATTATGGTTATCTTATCTGCTGGAAGAATGCTGACCAGACAGTGAATCTTATCATTCAGCGTTGGATCTTTGATGTAATGGTCACTGTCTTCAGAAATCGGAGTGCGCTGGAACTGAGTATGAGGAAAAACAGTAAGGTTTTTGTGGTTGTAATATGAAGGCTTATACAGTGCACCATAAACACAGTGTTGTCATTTTTGCAGATACAATGGTGATAGAAAGTTTATGAACCCTTTACAATTCTGTGAATTTCTGCAAACATATGACCTCAACTGTGATCAGATTGTGAACACAGTAGAACACAGTTCCCAATTAAACAAACAAAATCTATTGAACAAATTGTTTGCAAGGCCCACCATAACATGACTAATTTTCAGTGCTGTGCTGAGCGGGCAGGAAACCAGCCCACTGCAGACGGGAGCGGGACAAAGCCTGGCAAAACACTAACAATAACCACTCTGTGGTTCAATTCCTGCTCTGTGTTTGCGGAGAATAAATGCCGTTTGTTAAATGCCGTTACTCACAGTAAGCCTGATGATCATGACTGCCCTGTGTCAGATATTGGACATCAGTTCACCTTGACAGAACAGTGTGGGTGGGAGCGGGACTAAACATTTGGGTTGTGAGTGAGAGCGAGTCAAATTATTCTCATTTTCTGCAGAAGTGGGACTGACAAAAACAGTTCTGTGCAGACCTCTACATGTGACCTCAAATGTTATCAGATCTTCACCATAGTATCAAAAATAGAACTCAGACCCCAATAAAACAAACAAAACACACAGGTATGTTTTTTTCAGTAAACTGTTGAACAAATTGATTCAGTATTAAAGTTCTGTGTTTATAAAAGACTGCGAGCAGACCTTGAGAATATATCAGTTCATTATAGATGATGAGTGGGAAGTTCAATAAGTCAGGTGGGTCAATCAATTAGATGACAATCAGGTGTGACTTTGGGGGACTTTGCCCTATTTAATAGTCACAGTTATTGAGTTATCAAGCGACGACAGAAAGGACAAAGACTCCTTGACTGTCTCGGTAGCTCGATTGCTATGCTGACAGCAGCAGATATCAGTGTACAGAGCTAAAGTGCGAATCTAGCTGACAACTCAAATCACTACTAATTTAAATGTAATGTCCAATGAAATATTACGACCTTTAGTGATTTGTTTATTCCGAAGGTAAGAGCTGAATGGATCACATCTAAATACAGAACAAATACGTTATTTCATTATTTTATTTTTATGTTCCATTAGCAATACTGTTGAGCAAACAGTAATACTGAGTAAAAGTGGGCTCAAAGCTTAAGGACATTTTCACAAATTTTGTTGCCAGGCAACGAGGAGGGCTACGGAGAGCAGCAAGAGGTCAGGGCAGAGAGCACTGAATTATCAGCAGCCAATTCACAAGTGCTGTCAGGAGCCACGACGGGAGCACCATCAGGAGCCGCAAACCTCAGCAAGACATTGGTGCCATGGCCACAAGCTTTGCGGAGAGCAGTGAGAGCACAGTGCCATACCTGCAAGCATTCAGAATTAGCCAACTGTGCTTGCACACAGAGGAATTAGACCTCCGCATCTGTGCAGTGAAACACCCACATACACGCACACTAGTGAACGCACACACTAGGGGGCAGTGAGCACACTTGTCCAGAATAGTGGGCAGCCCTATCCACAGCACCCGGGGAGCAGTTGGGGGTTAAGTGCCTTGCTCAAGGGCACTTCAGGCACGTACTCTTGGCTTAGGGGATCAAACCGGCGACCTTGCAGTCACAAGGTTGGTTCTCTAACCTCCAGCCCATGACTGACAGGAGCCACAAACAATGGCAAGAGCTCGGCACCTCAGTCTCACGTGCAACTCCATGACAAGAGCAGCCATGGATAACAGTGAGAGTGCTGAGCCACAGCAACAAGTGCCATCAGGAGCCATGGACAACGGCTGAAACTCACCATCTCGGCCCCAAGCACCAACAGAAGCCACAGATGAAAGTGAGAGCATGGCACCATGCCAGTGGGTACTGACAGGAGCTGTGGGCAATACTGAGAGCTTGGCACCATGTGAGGGCTTGGCGCAAGCTGAGTTAGTTGGAAACCAATCACAGTATTCCAGGACCATAAGCCCGGCACTATGATCACAAGCTCTGTCGAGAGTTATTTGTGAGCGCCAATAACTCATTAACTACATATTCAATTTCTGTGCCTCTTTAAAACAAAATTATCCTTTTAAACTCAAAATATATCATGTATAATATATTAATATATTACAATTTTGGGCTAAACGCTAAAAATAAAGTGACATCAGCCACTGTGTTTAGTACTCCTGCCTACTGTGTCCTTCCTCACACAGCCATGGGTTCAACAGTTGTGTTAGTAATTCATCACATTAGCCTATTTTCATAACTTTGTCACCCCTTTGACGTTTTGTCCCATTAGGAAGCAGTGGTGTAAAGCTTGGTGGTGAACTGTGTGTTCACTGAAACAATATCTTGATCAGGCTAAGACTAGCTGATTAGGGATTGTGAGCGTTTGCTGATCTTACTTTGTAGCCGTTTCGTATGTTGCCTTTTAGAGCTTTGATGATGTCATCAGTGTGTACCCCTTGTAATTCTCCCTCTTCTAGACCCATCACATCGTAGAGGGCAATAGGTGCATGTCCAGATTTCTCACTCCCAATGGTGAATTTCTGGTACTGGAAACACAAATCAATACAATACAAATCAAAAATTGCATCTCAACATCTCTGCAGTTTCTCCTGGACAACAATGAGGCCAGATGGAAAGACAAAGGACACTTTAGCCTGCTGCTTACATATTTCTCAGGCGAAATCTCATGTGTCTCCTCTTGAGTTTTAGTAGATATCTCAATGAAGTCACACACTGTGCTCAAATGTTGCTCTTTGATAGCTCAGAGGATTCAGTGTGGATACTCATGCAGTTCATAAGGAAATATACAGTCAGACAAAAAGGAGACATGAGATACTTCTTGCTCAGATTAATGGTATTCACAGCATCAAAACTAAGAAAGCTCCCAGTCTTGGATTGAAATGGTTCATATAGAGATTGTTTTCTATATTTTGGTTGTTGATAAACATGAGCATTGCTGACGTCACAGCTCGGTGATCTCATGCTGGTTAGTAAGGGTCGGGTCTGCTGAGTGTTCTGATATGTGTATCATGTCTTTAGCATAAACCTTTCTGAAGTTATGAAGACCAGAATGCAGCTGTGCACACTGTTTGCAAAACTGTTAAACATATTTAATTGATTTAATTGATTCAGGTGATTAAACTTTCTCATTTCAAAAAGACACTTGGCATAGCGAGATCATCCAGGAAGTCACCAAAGAAAAAGAAATAAATACTTCTTCACAGCGCTGTGTGTATTACATGACATCAGACAAAAGTCTGGACCCCTCTGAGTGAATCTGTGTTTTTCAATCGAAAGCGTCTTCAGCACACATACATATACATTAACTAAGCCTTGGGTGAAATTATGAGCTTCTCTAATGAAAATAAACTAATCTTTTTTAATGATTGCAATGTCATTTTCAATATCATATATTCATTACAGTTAAACAGCCAAACTACCATCTACAGAGGCCCTGAAGGGTAAGATAAAAAAAAAATCATGTGCATTCCTGGGGGTAAGTTCCACTTTGTATATTTTCTCTGATTGTATAATACACCAAAAGCTACCAAAAACATATTTCAAGCATAACTTGTAAAAATTCAGTCATGCAACACCTCTAAATATTATATTTCTCTCTCTCTCTCAAAATTCTATATGAAAAAAATGTATTGTCCAAGACTTTAATGTTACTCCAGCTTTGACCAGCAGGGGGCGACTGATCTTTCCCCCTTACTGTTTATGGACCAAGTAGGGACCACACCTGTACAAAAACTGCCAGTTTTTCTTAGCTTAGTATAGTGTGGCAGCTAGAACAGTTTGTTTTGTTTATTTCTTTTTTTTTTGGTGCTGTCTGTCGTTGCCCTCTTGGCTAGATTGCCTGGTCTGCCAGTACAGCTTACTATAATAAATTGTTGTTCTTTGTTCATGCATTTATACGATTTTCCTTCTCAAAGTGCAGAATAAGGGAAGATACTGAGGCTAATAGAAAACACTGTGTAAGAAGAATTTAGTTTTGGCTGCCATTGTTTGTGCTTTTTTCAGTCACATTTATTTTTGATGAAAAGAAGCACATTAAATTAAATTATTCTAATTTGATGAAGAAAGTAAATTATCATAATTTGATTAAGGAAATACATATATTGTTGTAAATTTTACAACACTATCAAAGAGCAGTTTGTGTATAGCTCTCACTGTAGGTTTGATAATTCGCGTGTTTACAGCTTAAAAACCATTTCTTTCTAAATTAAAACTGCTAAAGCTCATCCGTGTGAAGTAGCCTGAAGGCCACTGTTACTGTGGCCATGTGTCGTCTTTCTTGTTTTAATAACTGGTTTCAAGACATGAAAAAGCCCACGTTCATATTTGGTGAGGGAAGCCAGTCAATGTGTGGAATGCTGCAGCACAGTCGTATTAGTTTAACAAACACAGCAGCTGGGTAAAAAAGTCTCCCTCACGCTGATACAGAGTGTTCTAAAGCCAGACAACATATCAGGGCTGATCCAGAACAAGGACTAAAAGAAAACATGATAAAAGAGAAGAGACTGCAGAATAAATAGGATTCCTTTTGTACATCTTTGGGCTGCGGGACGGAGCGTTTACAGACATTTAAATCGTCCAGCTTGACTGACAGACAGGACAGATGGAAACTCCAGCCGAGCTCTGCGTCTTTTGTTTAACTGTCATGAAGAAAATGTTAGGTTTGCCTGGTACGTGTCTCCAGTAAGACTGGAGTTTGAGCGCAGAGCGAGGACTTACTGGGGCTGTGGATTCTTCACTTGTTTCTTGCTTGACCTTATTATTTGAAATAAAATGATCCAGGCATAAGTAAAGTAATGTTAGTGTACATCAAATTTGTATGCGATGCAGTTGTGGCAGGCCTGTATCAGGAAACCAGTGCATTCAACTGATAAGTAGATGAGTGTATAGAGTCCCATCATTTTGGATTTTCGAGTCATAAGACTCATGTCCGAGTCACTAGCCACGTTTACATGCAGCCTGATAATCCGTTAATAATCCGACTAATAGCTCAATCTCAATAGAATACGTCCATGTAAACACCTCAGTCGGAATAAACCTCTAAATAATCCGTTAAATAGAAGAATAATAGCCATGTCAACGCCTGAATCCGATTACATCCCAATCGGAACATGTAAGTACGTTCTGTGCATGTGCGTTGCGTCATGGCGAAAGTTTATCAACTGGTCTGCAGAGGAGACGAGGTTTATGCTCTGATCTTTAAAAGACGGCGGTGGGACGGACGTCCAGCTTATGAGTCTCACAACATGACGTCTTCCTTTCGCCGCTTCCTTTATAAGTACATGTGAAGCACGTTTTCCTGAATCTGACGTCATTTAAAAGCAATTAAAAACTCCAGTGCGCCAACTGGAATCTCATCTCACGCGGACTGGACCTCACGTGATGTTCGCTGTCATGGTAACGTTCGCTCTAAGCGCTACTCCACGCATGCACGTCATTTTGCATCGGATTACTTGTAGTGAGCATGTAAACGAAGATTTTCCATCAAATCGTTGAATAGTGTGCATATAAACACCTCAGTCTGAATCTGTAATCGGATTGTATTCAGTCAGATTGGCAAAAATCTTTGCATGTAAACACAGCCACTGGTGTTCAGGTCAAAGTCTCAGCTGTTGCTGCCGCTCTTCGTAAATCTGCCCTAAATGTAGCCTGTGCAAAAATTATGGCAAGTTTTATATTTTTTGTTTTTCCAGAACTAGAAAATAGAAAAGTCTTTTCTGTAGAGACTGTGCTAGCTTAATTTCACTTAATAAATGATTGTCTGATCATGGGACTAGTACAGTGTGTTACACAGTTGTACGGAGTGTTACTTGCAAGATGTTCTTAGCGGTAAGGCCTAGAGTTATAACTAACCCCTGCATGGACATTAATCAGGAAATCTTTTGTTGAAAAAGTAGTTACCTGATTGTCCATTAGGGGCAAAATATAACATGTTGTGCTTGTGACATGGCTGTCAAGATGAATAAGATGTAATTCCTGATACTTTAGTGACATGTTAACAGAATTAGAATGGCAGATTTTCAGTGGTGGACAGTAACGAAGTAAATGTAATTCGTTACTGTACTTAAGTAGTTTTTTCATGTATCTGTACTTTACTGTATTTCCATTTTGGGTGACTTTTTACTTTCACTCCACTGCATTTCAAAGTCAGATATCTCACTTTTACTCCACTACATTATGAAACATCTGTCGTTACTTTTGGTTTATGTGTGCATAAAAACGTAACATCAAAATGAAAGAAGCGCAAAGCAAGAGCACCAATCAGGGCACTCGTTTTGATCTTGTTTTGACCTGTTGGTCATCCCGACCCAGTGCAAGCAAACAGTTCTACGTCAGTGCAGCAGTGCAGATTTTAGAGAAGAACATACTCACGTCTATAGTGTGACTGGTGTTTGTCTCTGTAGAGACTAGGCAAGTAACAAATGGCCGTTCTTCAAAAATACTTTTGATGGTGTTAATGGTGCTGGACTTTCCTGCCCCCACTGGTCCATACAGGAGAAAACGGAGCTCTGTGATTTCATTACAGATTCTATACCTTCTTAGGTACGCCAGCATTTCTCGTTGTCTGTCAGAGATAAAGATGGAATATTGCTTTGTTACTGTCAGTAATAAACAGCTACGTCAGTGAATTGATTCAAATGGAAAATTCAGCTGTGTTCATCAGTAAACCTTCTACATTCAGACATTTCTATGTGCTCTCCAGGGCTGTTTAATAGTGTGAAAGTTTTATATATGTGATGCAAAATGATGAACATGGCTTACGTCTGTGGGATTTCCCTCCATCTCCTGATAGCTGTAAAAAAAATATGTTCCAGTGAACAAGCAACTCAAACACTGTACAACCATTTTACCAGTCTTGATTTCCAACCCGTGCATCAACAAATCTCACAAGCTAGAATATTCTGTAATGTAAAAACTCATAAAGTACATTTATCTGATTAGTTATTATTTCATTAAAGATAATGTAGCTAATGGAAAATTAATGTGGTTTGTACTTAGCAGCACGACCCAGAAGGATAAGCGGTTTAGATGATGTTTGTGTGTGTGTGTGTGTGTGTGTGTGTGTGTGTGTGTGTGTAATTAACAGAATTCAATACATGCAAAATCATCTAAGAAACAAATGTTATGATATATGGTCTCCGTAACTGTTGCTGCATATTATATGCACATAAACGATCTGTTATTGGCTGGCACTGGCTTAGAGGAGCCCGGTACACCAACACTACAATATTTAAAAATGTGTGAGCAAATAATCAGCTAGTGGAGGATGTGCATTTATCCAATTTCATTTTCACTGTTTGCTGTGGTGTTTTTGGTGAAATTAAATCTTGAACCACTCTCTTTGCAGGTTTACTCTGTTTCTACTACTACATTTTTGCTGGTTTACTTCATCTTATTTGTACTTTAGAATACAACACTTTGTAGGCATCAGACCCAAAATGGTAGGTACAATTTGTAAACCTGCTGCGTTTCAGCGTTTGTTTTTTAACTCCTTATATTGCTGCTCTGCATGTATCTGTTTGATTTGGTTGTTCATGGGACTAGAAGAGCTTTTTTACAGTGTGCTAGTTGCAAGATGTAACTCCTATAGTTACAACCAACCCCTGCATGGACATTAACCAGGATGTTTTTGATGAAATTGTAGTTACCTGATTGTCTCAGGGCTGCTACCCCTCCTGTCCAGGTGTGTGGAACCTTTCAGGAAGCCTTTTTGCTTAGTACTTGGCTCAAGGAATGGTATTTCTTAAATAGAACTGTTGTCCTGGACTTTGACTCCATGCACTATCCCTGTCCTGTCTCACTCCTGAATGATGCTTGCTCAATATTCCATTCCTTCTGGGGTATCATGGCTCCATCACAAACCTACATACTCCCAGTCTGGGCCTGATTGACCCAGACTACCCAGTGTTAAATAATGCAGTTAGTTTTACTGTTTTATATTTGATTAAGGCTGTGTGATCAGTTGCCTGCTATTGACACTGCTGACCTATAACTGCTACAAGCTGAGCTAAAATCATTATACTACAGATTCTACAGTAGTGGGTCTCATCAGCAACAATAATGAGTGAGCATACAGGGAGGAGGTGGAGCGACTGGCAGACTAGTGCAGAAACAACAATCTATTTCTTGATGTTCATAAGATAAAAGAGATGATTGTTGACTTCAGTAGGACTCACAGTGATCTCTCTCCACTGCACACCAAGGGTTCAACTGTTGAGAATAGTCAAAGCTCTGAGTTACAACAGCTTTTTCCCTGAGGCGTTCAGACTGCTGAACACACTAATGTCCCCCAGCATCCACCTGGACTAATCTAGAGCCTTTACAACATCCACCTGGACTCACCCAGACCCTTTCCAACGTCTACCTGGACTAATCTGGACATTTTACAACACCCACCTGGCCTCATCTAGACCCTTTCCAACATCCACTAGAATCTTCACCCTTTACAACATCCACCTGGACTAATCTAGAGCTTTTACAACATCCACCTGGACTCATCCAGACCCTTTACAACATCCACTAGATAATGCACCTTTAATACCACTGGACTAATCTAGAGCTTTTACAACATCCACCTGGACTCATCTAGACCCTTTACAACATCCACTAGAATAATCTTCACCCTTTACAACATCCATCTGGATTAATCTAGACCCTGTACAACATCCACTAGAACAATCTTCACCCTTTACAACATTCACCTGGACTAATCTAGAGCTTTTACAACATCCACCTGGACTCATCTAGACCCTTTACAACATCCACTAGAATAATCTTCATCCTTTACAACATCCAACTGGACTACTCTAGAGCTTTTAGAACATCAACCTGGATTCATCTGTACCCTTACCACATCCAACTGGTCTCCGCTAGACCCCTTGGCAAAAGGTTTCTTTCAGACTGATCACTTTACCATCACTGCATACCACCACTTTAAACTCTGTAAAATCAGCCATATACCTGATCTGATGCTGTACATTGTTTAGTTGACCTGTCTACTTAGTTTCATGTGTACGTTCTGGTCTCTTTCATTGTATATTTTGCACTAGTTTCACACTGTCATGTATCTGTACTTTATGTAGTTCTGTTGTCATTCCAATGTTTATATTGAGGAATGACAATAAAGACCACTTGACTTTAGTATTAGTATTACTAGTCATTTAATTAATTAACGAGTTAATCAATAATAATGATATTGAGCACAGGTTCCACTGAGAACAGCATTTGTATCTATCTTAGACTCTCCAGTTAGAATCTTAGTTCCACTCAAAGTGGAATGGGAGCCCACTCATTATTGCAGTCACACTCTTGACTGAACTTTGACCTCTGGTGTAAATTTAGGTCATTTAGCCAGTCTCCTCCAGAGCATAGTGGTTTCAGTTCATTACTTAATCTCAAGTGAACTCCACTCCACTCATGCCCACACTGTCATGTCCAACATGTCACATCCTCCACAGGTAGTAGCTTTATTGAAAACCTCCCAGATCTATCAGCTCCCCCTTCTGATCTGGATGTTTTCACACAGAATACATTTCATTCTGTTTTAGATAATGAGCAGGATAGTGTTCCCTGAGGTGTTTGTGAATGTCATCTCACTTATGATCTTCACAAATAAATATTGCTTATTATAGTCTTAATTAAATGCTACCGTATGATACCATACAACTGTACCATAATAATCCACCCTTTGTGGCATTATTATATCTACAGCGAAAGTTACTGTAACAGATCAGATATTAGAGTCAAGAGCAAGTTTGTGTTAAATCTTGTAAACTCACCAGGTTTTGGTTGGCGATGGTCCCATTTTTTAATCTAGAGAACTGAAAAAATACAATGGTCAACATACTAATATGTAATAACAATAATAATAATAATAACAATAATAATACATTCAGTTTTTGGTACAAAAAATCTGCTGTTAAATGCAGAAAAATCATTAAAACACTGGAAAATGAAAAACTATGATCTCAATTAAAACAACACAATTACAAATAACAGGAGAAAATGAGCTTCAATACTCTAGACATATTCTAGACTTAGCAAATATGTTTTGAAGCTGGATTTTGTCAAAAACCTCAAGTTTGCATGTGTAATATTAGTTACAGTAGTTTAATCTAATAGTTATGAAGGCATGTATGGCGAACGAGAGTGTTGCGTTTTGCCTAAGAGCTCTTTTTGATATAGCATAGATTGCTTCTCCTTGCATGGTATGGGATGGCAGCTGTGTCCCAATTGTAAAAAGAAATGTTGCTTTTGTTAAAAGAAGAGGTTAAGATGATTGGTGGATCCCTCAAAGGAGTCACTCCACCTCCTCCATCTGGCTTGGTTGATCCCACTACTACTGAGTTCTACTGCAAATTTGAATGCACCAAGGACAATCTTCTTCTTTCTCTGCTCCCTCACCCAGAGAGAGGTGACAGACAGAGAGCAGACAGAAAGTTAGAAAAGCTCCTGGGCCAGATGGAGTCTCTCCATCCACCTTAAAGCACTGCTGTCACCAACTAGCAGCAATTTTTACCAATATTCTCAACAGATCACTGGAACTTTGATCTGTTCCCACACGTTTCAAAACATCTACCATCTTTATAGGCCTCAAAAAAACTAACATTACTGGACAAAATGACTTATAGCCAGTAGCCCTGACCTCTGGAGTCATGAAGGTCTTTGGACCCCTGTTCTTAACCCACCTGAAGACCATTACAAACTCTCTGCAATTTGCACACAGAGCAAATAGGTGTGTTGATGTGGTCATATTGGCTCTGCACGTCATGCTACAGCATCTGGACAGTCCTGGAACCTACACCAGAGTTCTGTTTGTGGACTTCAGTTCGGTATTCAACACCGTAGTGCCAGATCAAAACTGTCCCAGCTGCCTGTGCCAGATCCCATCTGCTGGTGGATCATGGATTTCCCGACAAACCAAAATAGCAGACACGACTAGAAAAACATGTCAGACCCCCGGACTCTCAGAACTGGAGTACCATAAGGCTTTGTGCTCTCAACGCTTCTCTTTAGTCTCTGCACCAATCACAGTGACTCCCTAACCCCCTCAACATCAGTAGTTCTGTGGTTTCCACTATGGAGTCATTTAAGTTCCTGAGCACCACAGTGTCCAGGGAGAGGAACACAATCTCCATAGCCAAGAAAGCTCAGTAGAGAATGTTTTTCCTGAGACAGCTGAAGAATTTTAACCTCAACAGAGCCTGGTGAAAACTCTACATTGGAAATAATGCAATAGTGGTGTATATTACTGTGTATATACACCGATCAGGCATAACATTCTGACCACCTCCTTGTTTCTGCGCTCATTGTCCATTTTATCAGCTCCACTTACTATATAGGTGCACTTTGTAGTTCTACAGTTACAGACTGTAGTCCATCTGTTTCTCTGATACTTTGTTAGCCCCCTTTTACCCTGTTCTTCAGTGGTCAGGACCCCATGGACCCTCACAGAGCAGGTACTATTTAGGTGGTGGATCATTCTCAGCACTGCAGTAACACTGACGTGGTGGTGGTGTGTTAGAGTGTGTTGTGCTGGTCTGAGTGGATCAGACACAGCAGTGCTGCTGGAGTTTTTAAACACTGTGTCCACTCACTGTTCACTCTATTAGACACTCCTACCTTGTCGGTCCACCTTGTAGATGTAGTCAGAGACGATAGCTCATCTGCTGCTGCACAGTTTGTGTTGGTCATCCTCTAGTCCTTCATCAGTGGTCACAGGACGCTGCCCACGGGACGCTGTTGAATGGATGTTTTTGGTTGGTGGACTATTCTCAGTCCAGCAGCGACACTGAGGTGTTTAAGAACTCCAGCAGCACTGCTGTGTCTGATCCACTCAGACCAGCACAACACACTCTAACACACCACCACCAC